CTGTGGTGGAGCAGGTCTGTTGGGCAGCCGGACAGGCCAGGTTTGTGTGCAGTCAAAGGGCTCTGTGTTTGAAGCGGGCTGATTACTCCCTGGACTCGCAGCCCACATTTGGAAACAGTTAGAGGGAGACTGCAAGCTGCCACGGCTTTTACCAATCAATGCGGCGGTGCGGCACTGGTTCACTCGCCCAGCATTTGATTTTGCATCCGTTGGACAATAGTGTCCCGCTTAGCCCCCAAACCCTATCCTTACAAGCTTGTAATTCTCAAGAGTGTCTGTGATAAAGAAAAGTTTTATATCAATTTTCAAGAATATTTTAAATATTGTTTTTTAGTATTTGAAAATATTCTTGAAAATGGTATAATTTTTTCAAACCACATCTTAATTAGTAGATATCAATAAAAAGTAGGTATTTTAGAAAATTTATTAAATTCACTTTTGAAAGTTATGTTTTTATGCCTTGTAATAAAAGTTAAAATTATCTAATATTTTAAGAGACTTATTGACCTTTACACAAAGTCATGAGGGTCTGATCAATGATGGCCATGTCCCAAATGGAAACCTAAAAGCCCTCGCGATCTTCCTCCGAGTCCACACTTTCGTGACGTAATCGGGTAGAGGTTTGCTGCAGAGCTTGCGGGTTTGTCAAAAGTGCGCATTGAGGGCGCATATTGGCTAGGGATGGGACATATTTGACATTTGAGTCAATTTTTCATTTTGAATACTGTTAAAAAGTACAAAATGGAGGACCAACGAGAACAGAAAGCTGGAAAGCGTTAGATCTAAAGGAGGGAAGCAATCGGAAAATTCACAAGCTTGCCAACCTCACGCAACAGACTGAAAATGTGTTTGGCCTTCCATAACAAGGGAAACATTTTTTTGCCAGGGATCAGTGTTTCTGATTCTTTTTCAGGTGCATTTAATACTGTGGATGCCTCAAATATTACAGATGGCTTAAAAAATGCAGCGGTAATAGATAATACTTGAAATGTGTCCTTTATATGTCCAGGCTTCTGTACGAAACATCCAGGAATTGGCATTTTAAGAAATGTACTGAAATGGGTCTTGATTACCTTTAAGTGTGTTCTTCAGAACGCATGCCTCCGGGATATTCCAGGCAACGTTTACGTCTATTAGCAATGATGGGAAGTTGAGGCTATAGAAATAAAGCAGGAGGAGATAAAAGTGCTCAGCAGGGTGAATAACAAGCTTTTCTCCCCTCCTTTTTTCAGAATTAATGGTGTTTCAAGCATTCCTAATTTCCTATTTCTATACTTGAGGATAGAGAGTTGAAGGAAGAAGTAGAAAGGTTGTTTATGTGTGTAAAGAATGTTGAAAAAATTGTATCATGGTTTCCATAAAAATATTAAGCAGCACCACCATTAACATTAATAGTATGTTAAGAAATGTTTCTTGGGCACCAAGTCATCATATTAGATTGATTTCTGAAGGATCACGCGACAATGAAGAGTGATGCTGAAAATTCAGCTTTGCCATCACAGGAATAAATTACATTTAAATTTACATAGCTAGATAAAGGAAAAAATGGGAACGCTGTAGGCAAGAAAGAAGGAAGTTAAGGGTGGAGAGTGTGTGATGTTTATTAGAGGTTAACACCTCATAGTCACACATCCTTACAGTCCTTTGCTCTAAACATTGTAACACTGTTTATTCCTCTCTCTCTCTCTCTCTCTCTCTCTCTCTCTCTCTCTCTCTCTCTCTCTCTCTCTCTCTCTCTCTCTCTCTCTCTCTCTCTCTCTCTCTCTCTCTCTCTCTCTCTCTCTCTCTCTCTCTCTCTCTCTCTCTCTCTCTCTCTCTCTCTCCTCTTCATGCTCACATGGTCAGTGAGGCCACATGCCTGTACGCCACCCTTCCTCTGCTCTTATTGGAACGACTGAGAGAAGCTCAGAGATCTCTAATCTCCTGCAGTATTGAAATACCACACAGTCCAGAGAGAATCAGAGAGAAAGAGTGCAGTCATTACATACTTCTGAGGAGATAGCGAGCGATAGACCTCATTAACCCCACCTGTAACACCCCAGTGGCTCCACGCTCTCATTCTCAGTTAAATTGGGAAGATACACACTGTCTCTGACCAGTGACCACCATGCAGATCTTTCTCTCTTTCTTGAAGAAAGTCTGTGCTTAACGCTCGCTGATTGATCTTGACAGCTGTTGAGATGATTTATTAAAAGCTGTGGGTGTATTTAAATGTCTTTTAGGTTGTCATTTATCAAAATCACATTTTAGCATGTTATCCGAGTCATACTCAAAGTTCATGAATTTTACAGTCCTGTCTCAGTAAAGCTTGTGAATGTGATGTCTGGAACAGTTATGGCTTTTATCGTTTTTCTACCCACTTATTTTTTTATCTGTCAGTTCCTCTTTCCTCTCTTATCCTCCATCACTGTTCTCACTTGACTTGTTTTTGGTTACAGATGTTTTTTCCGCTCAGTTTCCACATGTATGCATGAATGACTTCATCTATTTGTTGTTTTTCTTTCTTTATTCTGCTGATATTGTGATGTTTTCTCTTTGTGACAGAGACGAAGGCAGTGTCACGAAAAGAGAGAGAAAGCATCTTCACTAGCCGTACTTTATACGCTTTCCATGAATTGGATGCAAAATAGAGCCTGAAACCATTTTTTTTTTTTAAATGTATTGTACTTTATTTTATTTTCTAAATTCAAAATGTCTAAATAGTTCTTGGTTAATTTAGTTTAAAATTCAAAATGTCTAAATAGTTCTTGGTTAATTTAGTTTTTATTTTAGTCTAAATAGTTTCCTTATTTATTTATAATTTTTTGCAATAATTTTTTTTAGCAATAAACACTTTGGGTCTGATTCATGAAACACGAGCAGAACGAATTTTTGTGTAAATCGTGTGTAAAGTGGTTCTGGCGTAAATTTTCGGATTCATTAAAATGTATTTTCCAAATGTTAGTTGGTACGAAAGAAATCTACACCTGCTCCCAGCCACGCGTAAATAGTGAGTTTAACATCCGAACGTTTTGCTCATTAATAACTAAGGCTGCATTTTAATTCACCTTAATCGGGTACATATTTACACAGCATTTTGAAAAAATATTATATATAGTAATTACATACGGTTTTTCTTTTTACTTTGGGACTGTTTTATTAACAGATGAAACTCCATTAACTGCATCTGTAATAGGCTATGCTGCCAAACTTCCTTTTTTTTAGGACCTGATATGCCACTATGTAACCTATGCTTGAAAATAAAATGTGGTGTTTTGAATGAACTTCTGGTAATAAAACGTCGATTTCTGCATCTGAGAAATTTTTCTTTTTCATTCGCTTTTGAGAAGACATGTTGAAATCCTTCGTTTGGTGTCATAATATGATGCCCATATATAGTTGTCAGTCGGATTTAATGGGCGGGATTTATGGTAATTGAGAATGAGCTTGCACGCGCGTCCCATTTACGACTGATTGGAATTCATTAACACACACACACACACATTTCACTATCACATCTGACGTTTACGAAGTATTTGTGAATCAGGAGATGAGTTTTTCGGGAAGGTCTCTTTACGTGCAAATCACTCTCATATTTACTCTTATATTTACGAATGTTTCATGAATGAGACCGTTTGCGTCTAAATGAAATGAACAGAATTTTTAAATTAGCCTAGATTTAAAAAATATTTGTAGTTTTTTGCTACAATAATTTGAATGTCAGTTGAATAGATCAAAAATGGTTTTGATTTTGTAGTATTTGAATTGTTTGTTAGGTCAAGATAGTAGATAGTTGAGAAGGTCAAGACCCCTGATGTGGGACAGACCAAAATCGGCTGGGGTTCACAGACGTTTGATGTATTGCGCACTAGCTACTTTTCATGCTAGATTAATTTTAAATGTGATAATAGTTCATCTAACATTTTTAATAGTTCTCACTATAAATGAAAACATAGTTGTTGTGCCTATAATGCTTTAAAACAATAATGGGACACCAAAGTATACCCTATTTGTGGAAAGTGCCATAAATCTTTTCACTTTTCTCCTTTGTGTCATACACTTGTCTATGTGTTTGTCCCTCCTTGTCTTTTTCCTTTGTTTATGCTCTCTGTTACTCTGAACATGACTTTTGCAGACAGGTTGACAAAAAAATGTCTCTGATCGTTTCCTGAGGAAATTACACCCACTTCCTCCCTCTCTCTCTCTCTCTCTCTCTCTCTCTCTCTCTCTCTCTCTCTCTCTCTCTCTCTTGCTCCTGTCTCTTTATGCTTGCCTGCACTGTAGACGCAGTGCTTTGGAAAGCTTTGAAGATCTCAGAGACTTGGCTGATTAAAGCAGCTGATAAAACCCAAACACAAACACCGCTCCATTAGCAGTTATTTTAGGCTTTTGCTATCATACTGGTTCAGTGCAGAGGACAAGGCCATTGTCCCAACAGCTGCATACGGTAGTCTGGTATGCAAAGACATCCCCCTGTTATCTGCTTTTTTTTGTCTGAAAGTTGGTGCACTTTCACTGTGAAACTCAATGCAGTACACAGTACCCTAATGCCGGTATTGATGCTCATTGAGATTAGATCATAAGAAGCCTTTGTTTTATATTGGAGAATGAGTAGACAAACACATTGGCAGGACACTGAGCAGCGAAAAATTCTTTTTAAAATCTCTCCTGCAGTAAAGATCTTGTATCTATTATTCTGAAGGCGGATGATAAGGAAAGCAAAACAACAAACTGAACTATAGATCTTTTGACCACTGAGAATGAAATGAAGTCACTTTTTTTCATTCAAAACCCTGCTCATTGATAGACCGTAATGGTATCTAGCTCTAGTTCTTCCACATTGGTCTGTCTGTTATTGATTTATTGGCTGATCCTGATGCTGTTGTTCTCCATTCTGTATACTTGTATCAGATGGCCCAATCTGCTTTGCACGTGGCAGTATGTTTGTATGTGGTCCACTTTGTGTTGTATTGTTGACACAGGATGCCGTTCTAGCCTTTCATGATGTCTTGTCTTTGCAGGACCTCAGATTACCAGTGTTGGTGCAAACTACGACAGCATGGATTATGAAGACGCCCAAAACGGGGTTTGTTTCCATTCGTTCTTGATGTTTTTATAAGTGGCCTGCATCTGATTTGATAACAGAGATGGTATAATCAGTTTCCACCATTATTACCAAAACAATGCACTATGCATTGCATCTCATGATTGAATACACAGATTATTTACATGAAAAGAATATTATCGAAGGGGTAGTGAAAGAGTTTTATTTGTGTTATATTAGATCTAATTCGCATCAGGTTATGGACAATGAATACAACTCAAATACAAAGGCATATACTGTCTGACATTACAGCTGCCGAGACGCAAATGTTTCTGGATGCTTAATAAAATCAGGAATGTGCTGTAGTAGGTGGGGCGGCACAGCTGACTCTTCTCTGAGTGTCTTGTGCAATGAGTTATACTCCTCCATATTCTCACCAGCCTGAAGGGGGTTTGACCTTTCTGAGGGGGTTTAGCAGAGTCCGGGAAGTACAATGGTAAAGTCCTAAACATAGCAGTCTAGCTATAAGGGAGTCCCTCTCTGTAGTGAATCTTACTAGTGTTCTCAAAAGTACCAACTTCGGTATCAAGTCGTTTTTGTAAGCGCTCGGTGAAGATTGATGTATATTTACAACATGTTTTTGAAGCGCTGATCATTGTAGCCAATCACAGACATATCCGATAAGCGTGTGAGCACAATGGGCAATCAGAGGTGTTTACGATTTTGCTCAACAGCGCTCAAAGCGTCAAATTTGGTACCAAAGTCGGTACTTTTTGACAATCCAAAATCTTACTTCAGGTTACATTGCTACACCAGTAGGGGGCAACAAGTGACGGCTTTATGAGTACGTCACTGAATCATTCATTCAACCTATTTGTTCAAAAACACTGATTCATTCAGGAATGTAAAAAACACTACTGGGTGTTGCTCTGACTTGAGCAAATATCTCTCTCTCTATGCTTAAAGGGGAAGTTCACCCAAAAATTTACATTCTGTCATCATTATTGTTCCAAACCAGTATGACTTTCTTCTGATACAGGTCATGCAGGTTTGGAACAGCATATGGGTGAGTAAATCATGACAATGTTTATTTTTGGGGGAAACTATCCCTTTAAATGTTTAGTTAACGGCAACGCATGCACATTTTATCTGCGATTAAAATGTTTACACTAAGAAAACATTTGCTCTGCTTGTACTTGCAGTATCAGAATTGCTTTTTTGTTTCTACTGAAGTAAACCCTGTTAGTCTGTTGAATTGCTGGAGTTTGACTTGTACAGGGATTTTCAGCCTCTTTCCACTGAGTTATTATTGCACAACAGTGACAGAGCACAGAGGAAATTTGTTCTTAGCAACTCTCACAGTAGAACACTGTTACATTTACAGCCATTGGCCAGATGCATTGGTCCGGTTTATGGAATATTCCTCTGATTCAATTTAGTTTCTTATCAACAGGTGGAAATAGAAATCTGATCACACAGTTTAGCCTCTTGTTACTTTTGTGAAAGAATGAGCTTCATTTAGGTGGTAGAGTATGAATATTAATTCACTCTTCTCCATGTTTAAATGTTCTCCTTGGCTCCCTGAGCTCCGGTTCACAGCATGAATCTTTTAATTTAGCCTGAAGTCAGAATATTTGTGGCAGCTACTTAATGTTTTCAATTCTTCTCCTTTAATTAGAAATCATCTCATAATAGCAGTATAATGTTACACGCAGTATGTGACATTTTTTAAGGGCTTTGTTTTTAGTCATTTTTATAGTGTGGAGGGAACTGTTCTTTATTAGTATTGTGTAGATGGCCACAATACATTCTTTTACTTCCTTACCAACACTTCATCTTCTTTATTAAAAGTGTTCTATATTTAAACCGGGCCATCAGGCCATCCTTTTATTTTTGAGTCCTGTAATGAAACTCATCTACCAATATTAAAAATAAAAATAAATCCTACAAACGTTAGCTGTAAAACGGTAATGTTTTTTTGTGCTGTTTTTTAAGATTATTTCTGTTAAATCTGATCTTTCTCTCTCCACAGCGCGGGCCGTCAGGTGCTCAGAGTTCGAATCCAGCCATGAATATAATCGGAGCAGAGGATGAAGACTTTGAGAATGATGAGCAACCTGTGAGTGAAACATTAGCTCAGAATTAGTAGTTCTTTTAGTATATTTGAGGTAAAAAATATTTGGAATATGCATTAAATTGATCAAAAATTACACTGAAATTGTCATCACCGCAATAAAATACATTTTAAAATATATTAAAATAGAAAACGGTTATTTTAAATTGTAATGATATTTCACAGTATTATTAATTTTACTGTATTTTGGAAGAAATAAATGCAGCCTTTGTGAGCATCAGAGACTTCTTTCATAGACATTTAAAATCTTACCAAACTGTTTGTTTTTATTTTATTTCTTAATATGCATGTAAACACTTTTCTTCTCAGATGGTGGATGATCAGTGCAGTCACTTTAACAGTATTGAACTGTTGAAGTCCAGGCCCACCCACCTGCTGGTCTTCGTTCATCATGTCATGTTACAGTTTGACTGTGCTCCTGTGGTAAGAAATTACAGAATGTGTGCCAGTTTATTTTTGTCAGTTCGCATGCATGCGCTTACTTTAGTATGTGAGGCTCTGTGTGTTTCTTACACTATCTCTTGTTCGGCTATGAATGATGTGTGTGTTTAGGGGGTGAGGGTGTCATGTATGTATTAGTATTCAGATAAAGCCCTTTTCATGTGATTTAAAGCATGAGTATTTCTTCCTTTGTTTGGCATGCAGCCAATGTGATCTACCCCAGGTACCGTCTCCCAAATTTCATTTAACCTCAAAACTCTTCTGATAGGATACATCTCACAGATGCTAATGTTCAGATGAATAATCTAAATTAGTTGGTTAGTAAATTAGTAGGAGTGAGGTGGACATCTTACCCTATATTGTTTTCCTTTTGTGGACCTATAATGTATTATTGAGTTAGACCAGTTATGTTTGGTTTCAAATCCAGCAGGTACTATGTTGTGTTCATTAATTTTAGATTGGCCCATTTATCCCTGTCATTCTTCCTGATACTCTTTTCTCACTGCTCTAAAAAACGCAACTGCCTCTCCATCCAGTCAATAAAGTCCACGTATAGGTTAACATAGCACACATCACTATCCCTCTTTTTTTGGTGTCTACATCTGTCAGTTTTCTTACTCTTGTTTTCTTTAATCTCCCGCCTTCATTCTCTCTCTCTTTTCCCCTGTTCTAGCTATGTTACCTTCATGCTGACCTCTTCAAGAACTTCAGTGCCAAAGACACAAAGAAGCACTTTGGGGAATTCTACAACACTTTCCTTGAAAAAGGAGCGGTATGTGAACAGAGTTCTAGACATCCAGCTGTCAAGTTTATTTATCTCTTTACAAGTTTTCCTCTTTGTTCTGTCACAATTTTCAGTCTACCCTCGTTTTATTGTCTCTGTTTTTGTTAGACCCCCTAAAGGAAACCTGGGGAATATTTTTGAAGGGGTATTTTATTTATCACACAGATGATCTGCTGTTTGTCAATCTTATCTTTGAGCTTGTTGTCTTTCAAAGTGGAGAAATAGTTTTTGTTCATTGTTTTCTTAAATAGGCAGATTAACCTAAATTTATACATGGAACATAAAAAAAAATACAAAAATGTTGCAAAAACAAGAGATTTGGAAAGAAAATTCTGATGAAATTTAGAAAAATGCAGAATGGTAGTTGGCACATAACCATCACATGTCTGCGTCATTCCTTGTCATTTTATTTATCTTTTTTATTTATTTTTTTCATTTTGCAACTCCATTACCTTTTAATTATTATAAGGTCAGAAAACAGCATGATTAATAGTTATAAAATTATTCACAAAAAGCTGTTTAAAATGATTTTAGGCTATTATATTTGTATCATCATACCAGACAGGTATGTCTGTATTGCATTAAAGTGACTGAAATGTTTGTCTAACTAGGCAGTAAGCATTTGGAGTGATAAGATTTTTTTTTTTTTCAAGTGGGTTTTATTTTGCAGTAAAATAAGTAAATGACTGGACTGGAGTGCTTCTTAATTTCATCATTGGTATGGGTTAATTTTTCTGGTTCTTTATGATTATATTTTGAATACCTTTAATATAGTCATTAGAGATAGACTGTATGTTACCCAGTTCTTTCTTTTAATTTCTTATGATACTGTATCATGTCATTTCCCTGCTCATCTGTTTCTCCCCCAATCCATCTTTGTTTAGACTTGATTTTTTGTCTTTGTCCTTTTCCCCAAGTCTGTCTGCATATCCCTTCTGTCCAATGTAACATTTTTCTCGGTGTGTTATTTGTCCTTTTTTTCATCCTTTTCTGTGTCATCTTAGTGTTTGTCCTACCCTAACTTCCGGTTTGGGTCATGGGAATGACCTCCCCTGATGAATGACTTTTTTTTTTTTTTCATGTTTCATTTTTAAGTTTTTTCTATTCGATATATAATTTAGAGTTGACATGAAGGCTGTTGACATGTGGAATCTGGTTATTTATATTGTTATGACCTCTGGTGGTGCTGTGCTGAATTACAGTCTACAATGGAGGACAAAAACATCAACTTTAAGTTTTATAATTAATATAATGCAATTTCTTACCATTCTCTCTTTTCATTCCTTCTATCTTCCAGATTCTCAAAGTATCAGTGCCAAATAACTTAGCATCTGAACTGGGTAAGGCCTTCACCAGTAAAAATGAAAGTTCTTCTCTCACTCCACTTAACGTTGATATTGTTTTATTGCTGTAGTTTCATTAAATCCATTCGCCCCTCTGTCTCTCCGCTGTGTTCCTTCAGATCGCTTGCGTCCAGAAATTTGCAGCGAAGACCAACAAAGACGTTATGTTAATGAAGTGAAGTTCACGCAGAGTCCAGAGATACACCGGCAGCTGGAAGACTATAGGTGAGTCAGTGACCAGTGAGTGAATTTCAAAATAAAGTGAACCTAGAGTACTTTGCATTCATGATGCACAGTATATTTACCTATAAGATAAAAATGTCAGGCTCTGATAACAAGTGTTCATCTATCCCTGGTGCTCCAGTAGCATACTTGTCTTTGTTTCCCTCATTAGGCAGAAGAGGATGATGGGAATGACTCCCAATGAGCATGAACTAAGTGACGTGGAATCCCATCGTCCCACCGACCGCATCCCAATGGAGATGAAGGAGAAGGCTGTAGCTGAATCCTTGTTGGAAAAGATGGTTGATGCCAAGTAAGAGATGCCAATAATAATAATAATAATAATCTTATTTTATTCAACAGATGGTTTTTATAGTTGTGCTTTAAATTGTGACCAGTGTAGAATTTTTGAGCCCTGTGCTCCATAGATTTCAGCGAGATTGTTATACAATGAAACAGAAATTCACTTTCTTAGTCATTATCTATTCCATTAATTGTGCAGCACTACTAGTACCTTTATTTATGCATCCCTAGTTTTGGTGGAATTATCCCATATGTTATGGTCAGTTTACAGGGTGTCTGTTTTCTTGGTCTTGTCTGAAACGCAGAGCCAGACCTTTACTTTTTGCTGCCCTCCATAGTGCCTATCCTATAATCCAATCCTAATTTCTGCCTATAATCCTATAATCCTGTCTGCTGTGTGATTTTTGTGTTGCCCTGCCGAGTCAAACACCATCTATGCAGTGGGGAAGAGGATAATTTGCCACAAACAGATTCGCTTTGACAGAATACAGCTATTGTCAAATCTGCATTCACAGCGGATCAGAACCCCCGAGTCTCTGTCGATATTCACTCACCGGCTGCTAACTGATGCCTATTGAATGTGTCACACTGCACAGGATCTTCTTGCTGCTGGGCTGTTTGACCCCTTGCAGTGAATTCTATAATAGTCGTATCAGAATTCACTCCACTCACTGTTGTGCTTCATATGCAGTTCAATTAACTCAGAGGACCAGCTGACGTATCCATTAAAGTTTCATTCACGGCTCTAAAATAGTTATTTTGTTGTGGGTTAGGGCCTTTCTTCTTTGCCTTTTGAAAATGTAAGGCAAAAAGTTAAATGGATGCTCGCCTAAAATGAACGTGATTGCAACCAATATGATTTTTTTTGTCTTTTGTGAAACACAAAAGGAGATATTTAGAACAATGATCAGGCTGCTCTTTTCCAAAAAAGTGCTAAACGATAAGTGTAGTCTATATGATTTGTGTGCTATATTCCTAGTCTTCATAAAGAGATTCACAGTATATCGGTACCATATTGCTTATCTGCTGATATTACAGATTTTTTAAAAGAAATGTATTTGGTATTGGTCAACATTGGATATTTAACTGTGCTCAGTTTCCCTATTATTTTTTATACTGTATTATAATGTTTTGATGCCTAAATGTACTTTTAAAATGATTTGTTTTATCATTTAAAGGTTTAGGGTCAGTATTTTTTTTTGAAAGAAATTAAAGGGGTCATGTTGTGCTTTTTCACTTTTTCAACTTTAGTTAGTGTGTAATGTTGCTGTTTGAGGATAAAAAAAGATCTGCAAGGTTACAAAGTTCACTCCAAAGGGAAATATTTTATTTAACAGAATTCACTAAACAAGAACTATAACGAAGGACTCGTTTGGACTACAACACATTTTTTCCAGACTTTGTGAAGTCACAATGTTACTAATTTAAATAATCTCTGCCTACGGAATACGCAAAAAAGGGGTTGAGGCCTGGTTGAGCAGCTGCTATGTCAAAGAGACGCTGTTTTTTTTTCCACAACTCATTTGTTTGACCTTCCTAAGGCTGACGAACTTAGAGTGGTTTAAATTTATTTTTAACACTTTTCCTGAACATTATAACCCCAACGTTTATCTGTGTCCTGCACATTATTGTGAACAGCTTCCAGAACCACAATGCAGGCTACGCAAAAAAGCTTCTCCTGAAATAGCAGTTCCCACTTTGACGGGACAATCACTTGTTTGTGGATCACAACTTGTAAATATGTCTTATTATTTGTAGTTGCATTTTCTATTAACAGTTCCAATTATAAGTTTTATGTTGTTGCTACGATGTAAACAAAGGGCAAAGCTTTGCCTCTGCTCGACTGCTAGCCAACATTAGTGTTGATATAGTATACTGAAGCTTTTGTAAGCTCTCGCTTTTGTAAGGCTGTTCACCGCCCCTTTAGTAAAATGAACCTTGGTTTTGTGATCGATGACTGTTTGTATTACCATTGTTTTGATGATTAAATGGTGTATAACGTAAAATGTATAAGAAAATTACAAAAAAACAAACATACCACCCTGAAACATCCTGTGAAATCCGTGCTTGCAAAGTCCGTGCATGAAATCCTTTCTGTTCAATCCTCTTGTTTGTTAACATTCTTAAGTCTGATCACACTTGAATTGGTTTGAAATTGACGCCATCCTTAATATTTACACTTGAGCAGATGAAACTCGCAGTTATGGTAAGGGGCGTGACATTTCCCGAACATGCTCTTACAAGCGGTGCCAATCACAGCACACAGGGCCAGCTAACCAATCATCGATACCGGAACTAAACGGCGCGTTCGAGACAGACTGGGGAGAGAGGTACTGTAATAATCTGAAAAAGTGTGTTTTTTGAACAATCAAGCATGAAACCATACTAGTACACCCCAAAAACTAAATCAAGACTTCGTAAAAGGGCATAATAGGACCCCTTTAACACTTTTACTCAGCAATGACACATTTAAATGGATCAAAAGTTACCGGTATAATGTTACAAATGATTACTATTTCAAATAAATAAATCTCACTGAATCTCACCCCAAACTTTCAAATGGTAATGTATGTACAGTGTTGTTATTTTTATATATGTAGTTATGGACTACATTGTACACATGGTCCACAGGATAAACCTTTCATCAGAGGGACCTGTGTGGTTCTTTTACTGTACAGGGTGCAGTGAGTGCCAGATTTTCCCTGCTGGCTTTTATTGTGCAGAAATAATGATCTGAATTCAGATTGGCAGAGTGTGCAGCAGAAGCGAAAAGCTCAGCAGTCTCCTCCTGTCTCACTTCCTGCATGCGGGTCCTCACTACCCGTGGGGTGTAATGTATAATTCCTACAAACCCACGTTCACCCTTTAATGTGAATCTACTGCACTCATTGACCCCTCTTTGATCCCTGCCAATTAAAGCACCCAAGTTTATTTGCTTAAAGGAACAGTTCACCTTAAACTGTGGTAGTGTATAAGATTTAATTCATAGTTTAGCTTTTTATTGTGTCTTGTAGTTAAAATCATTACACAAACCTCAGCACACAGAACACTTCTGGCTTCATTTTGTTTCACGCATGTCTGAATCTAAAGGCTAGAGAGTAAGATAATGATTCAGTAACTGCTCAGTTAAGGATTCATCAAATTGAATCAAAGCGAACATTTGTGAATCTTTTTGGGTGGCTCATTAAAATAACTGTTAGGAGTCATTTCTTATTTGTTCATGAATCCACACTAGTCGCTCTCTGAGTGCAGAAAGACTTATTTGCCTGCCATTATATTGCATACATTTTGCAGTCTCTATATCCTAAGGTTCAATTCAGACTCCAATCAACTCTGGTAAAAATAAACATTATTTTACTGCTCAGCAATTGTGAATCCTGCAATGTGGTATAAATGCTCTGCCTAGTCACACCCTTTATTTCTATTAAAAATATGCACCATTTTACTCTACATGTAACTGATTCTGCCCTAAAAAAAAGAAAAAGAAAAGAAACTAGCAAACAGAGAGGAAGTGGTAGAGAGATGATGGTGTCAGAAGTGCCACGCTGGCAGGAAGTCTCTGCATTCTGGCTCTCTGCCAGAGAGAAATATAGAAAGAGGGATGCAACAGGGGTCAAGTTTGAGGCCGGCAGAGGGAGGGAAAGGGACAAAAGCCGGTTTGCAGTGAGACAGAATAGTTAATGTATATTAGATCCACCAGGGTAAAGTGATGTTGTAAAGGCTGCACTGGAAAAACATGCATGTAAAACATTGTCTCTTACTCATTCAGTGGCATTATTAGAGACATAATGTGTCCTCAGAGACTTCACACAGCTTCTTTTAATGTCTAATCTCAATATGGCTATTCAGTCTTCATATTCACTCACACAGTCGTCCTCTGTTCTCTCAAACACTGTCTGCTTCCTCTCGCACAGTTTTTTTTTTTTTGATCCCTCATTCATTCTCCTCCGTCAGTATAACAGTAATGACCTCACTTACAGATGCTCTTATTGGCTGCACTTTTAATGTGAGAGGCGGATCAAGGTTTTTGATTGGCCAGACGCTGGGGATTCCTTATCGCACTCCTCCTTTTGTATTATCATAGGAAAACACGAGGATCTGATTTCCATGTTCTTGCATGCTTGTTGCATCAGACAAAAACACAGTTAAATAGTAAGTTCCGTGGATGAGGCACTTAGATTGCTTGTGGACATTGCTGGAGGACAGTCTCAGTGCCTTAGGAGAGTGCCATCGTAGTGCTTGCAGTTTGAGAAGATAGCATAGCTCAGACTTCTAGACAACTAGTTTTGCAAGAGATTGTTTTACTGAACTTGATTTTTGCATAATTTTGTCTTTCAAAATTTGCCTGGATTGCAATTTTTGATGCAGCACTATTTTTTTACATCTTTTTTTTTATTTTAGTTTTCCTTTTATTTCACTTGCAAGTGATAGAATATGTTCATTAGTTTGATTTCTACAAACAATACAACAGTTACTGTCATTTTGGGTCAGGGAAAGTGTGAACGCTTCAGATTCCACCGTCCTAAAACAGAGATAAAATCCAGTCGAGAACGAGGAAGAAAAAATGTTTCTTAACTTTAAACGGTGAGTCCTTTTGACCAGCGTTGTGCTGCATTTTTCCTTTGGTATCCCTCTAATTATTTCTGTTTTGCTTTTTGCAGCCCTTCAATTGTTGCCGACAAGGACAAAGGGTGAGTTGTCTTTTTCTTCTTCTTTTTTTTCCGCAGTAGTCATTTGCATGTTCCTATATGGTTATTGCATTGACTGGTTTGTAGTTTTGTCATTTTCTAACTATAACTATTATATAGTCACTTTTATGTGGTTGTAAATTTCTAGCAGTTTCGTTAGTTTGGTTGGTTTGATTTTATAAAAGAAAAAAAATGAAATTGGTGCATTTATTTAAAAAAAAAAAAACACACTGCTGAAGTTAGATGGTGCATAGTATTTCCGTAAGAGCAGCTGTTGGTGGCTACTTGCAGTTGTTAATTTGGACAATGGACATGCACATGTGCACAGTCTCCACCTCCAGACTTCTGTCCCTCCCCTTTTCAGTGCTCCTTCCCCTCCCTCTTCTCTTTCTCCCCCTTCACTGGAGATTCTGCTGCTCTTTTAGAATGAAGGAAATGGCTTGATGCCAATTGAAGATCCCCCTGAGGTACTTGGACAATTTCATAGTACGCTACAGGGGTTGCATTGATAAGTCACTGATCACATCATTTCAGTTGCACTTCGCCAATATATGGCAACAGTCAGAGGAAAATACTTCTTCTATCTACATACAGCGGCTTACTGTAACGGTGTGAGTCATTATTCATTTTGTATAGTGAACTCTGAATGCCAAATATACACTACCATTTAAAGAAAGTGACAGTAAAGACATTAATAGTGCTACAAATATTTTATATTATGCAATATTTTAAATAAATGCTGCTCTTTTGATTGTTCTAGTCATTAAAGCAGGGGTCTCAAACTCAACTTAACTGGGGGTCGCTGGAGGTAGAGTCGGGGTCAGGCTGGGCCGCATCAAGTATTAACAAAAAATAGTATTCAAGTATTCCAAAAAAGGAGCACAACTGATCCAATCTTCTCAATATTTATTATTAACGTTTCTTCTGAACTGTTCCTCTGAATTTGAACATACCTTTCTGTACATGATTGGTTCTTCATGAGTTGTCCTTCTGACAGTTGAAATTCATTTTACAAACTTCGTTATTTCAAATGTAGGCGCGCGGTAAGCGCGCTCATAATTGAAGCGACGCGCTCATTTTTTCCAGGCGCAGTATGTTTGTACTTCGCGGTTGTCTATGACAACTATTGACAACAAACCCACCGTAAGTTGTCACGAGACTATCTATGGTAGCCCATAAGGGATAAAAAAAAATATAATAATTAAAACGCGGCACACGCAACGACGGGCCGCAGTAACATTAAAATTTAATGTCAAGTAGGAGGCCACAAAATATCACCCCGATATTCGCGGGCCGCGAGTTTGAGACCACTGCATTAAAGAGTCCTGAAAAAAAAGTATTATGGTTTCCATAATAATATTATGACTGTTTCCAACATTGATGATAAGAAGAAATGATTTTTTTTAGCACCAAATCAGCATATTAGATTGTTTTCTGAAGGATCATGTGTGAATCTCAAGACTGGAGTAATGGCTGCTGAAAACTCAGCTTTGGCATCAGGAAAAAAACGTCTGAGATGGTTTAAGTTTTTTTGAAAACTAACATTTTGTGAACCAACCTGAAACATAAAGGGTGACAAAAACCAGAAGTGTCATGACTGTTTTTTTGTGTGCAAAATTACATTGTTGAAGTGGTTCTTACAACACATTAAGCTATAAAGCGACTTTTTTCATATTTTAGTACTCTATAACCATTTCTGGGGCCGGTTGCACCAGCTTTGTGTAAGTTGTCCAAAGTTACAACTTTGATGTAAATGGGGACTAAGTTACAACTTACAAACTACTAAATATTTTTCCGTTGCACCATTAAACTTAGTTACTCTACGTATAAACTAAATATTTAAGGAAGCCTCCGATCAGGAGTAATGGTTGGAATAAAATAGCAGACAGATTGAACTGCCTCAATAAGCTCTTGTTTTACCTGACAGACTTTAATTCTTTAGAGACATATGATAATGCTGATATTTACACTTGCTTACATTTTAAGAAAGAGAACATTATGTGAATAGATTACTTTGTTAGCGGCTCATCAACACAGCGCGCCGCTGTGTGCATCTGTCCCATCGGTCCGTGTTGTGCATGTCAAATAAAATCAGTCATAATCAATAAATGTAATTTCTAATGTTTTTTGTATCAGTGCTTATTTATTTATCCTTATTAATTTCGTTTCAAATACAGTTTCTGAATGTTATTTACATATAAAAACACTTATTATGGTATTCATGATTAAGTATCATATTTAAAGCAACACCAAGTAACTTTTCCTCTGCGGTCGCCCTACAAGTTGGAAGCGGAATTGTCCATTACTGCTGTCGAAAATAATTTAGCCTACCGCATCCTACTGTCGCACGCGCACACGCACGCACATGCTCTGTTTATCTAGCACCGGCTTTGGAATCATGATGACAATTCAAAAGCTACCCGGCTGCTAGGTATCTTACATGTAGTCTACTGTCGAGTACGCTACATCTACAGGGTATCCGCGGGGTCTTGAAAAGTATTAAAAGGTGATAAATCAATTTTGGGAAAATTAAGACCCTTAAAAAGTATTAAAAAGTCTTATCACGGCTTTATAAAGTCTTACATTTTGAAAGTATTTTTTCTGAATTAGCTGTCCAACAGTTTGAGTCCCAAAAACATCGTAAAAGTGTGTGAATTTAGTCATTTTTATTAAAAAAACGAAGAACTGAGGCACATGTCAGCATGATTGTTGTTGAGGGTGGAGCAAAGTTTTGTTTTGTTTTTTAATAAACTTTACTTTGATTTACTATCCCAGCCTATTTGATTTTTTTTTTTTTTATCAGAGTGGTCTATAGTCTTTATCACAAACTAAAACTGTTAAGTTAAAAGTATCACTGATGTAAATGGTGACAGCTTGAAGTGGCGGTGAGGTATTAAAAAATATTGAGAAGGTCTTGAAAAAGTCTTGAAAAGGTATTAAAATTAACTTCAAGATTCCTGCATATACCCTGATCTATCGGCAATTGTAACGCTTGCCGTAAAGCAAGTCAAATTTGTAGTTTTCTTATGTCTTATTCGGACTACAGAAACGCGACCTGATCTGGCAATCTTACATAGCGTGGATATATCAGATAAAGGACCGCAAAGCGGTGGCATAAGTGCATTTCACCATGTCACGACTTGATGAACCACTGAAACGATTTTGAAAACATTATTTTAAGGTAAAAAATCTTACTTAGTGTTGCTTTAATGTAAACATATTTTTACCGTTAGTTGCACGAGGCAAAAGTTAGAATGAAGGATAAACTGAAATTCACAGCATTTAAACACAACTTCTGCTCACGTATTTGAAGGCTGCTATTGGATCATTGAGAGTGAACGTCATATTATGCGTCTACGCATTACTTTACGGAGAGCTTACGACCTACTAACAACATTCTGCCTTACAAACAAATGGTGCAATGGAATTAAGTACAGAATTAGTTACAAACTAGCTAGTAGTTACTAAGCCTCTACTGTGGACCTTACATTCCAATTTAAGAAAGAACTGAAAAACTTTTTTCTTCCTTCAGTAACTCCATCTTTGGAGCAGTGGCCTTCTATATGAAGCACCTTGGCGTCAAGACAAGAGCACTTGACAACAAGAAGGCTAAGTCAGGATGGCGACCCTCTGTCCCCTCTGTGTTGAAGGTTAGATTACATACTCAATAGTTCATTAATATAATATAAATTCCTATGTTTTTAACTGTATCGACTGTATTTGTATTTTCTTGTCTAATTGTATTGGGTTTTTTGTGTGTTGAACAGCCATGGGGAACCAGCAAACCCACCAGAAACCTAGGGAAACTATCTACATTCTCCCGTATGTACTGCACAGAATCCCTTCATTCCCCTTCCTTTGAACACCCGCCCTACTTACATCACACTCTCATTGAGCAAACCTGTATTATTTCACTGCGCACATCGATTTCCATTCTGCCATTTACACTAATTACCCATTTCATCTCAGACACCTGCTAAGATAATTGAAATCAATGTACACAAAAACACTTCTGTAGTTTATAGTATGAGAAACATTCTGCATATATTCATTAAAATACCTGCAATATCAAAGATTGATGAAAAATTTAAAGGAACTTGTTTGTGTTGCTATGTTTTCCTCTTGCAGATGATGGTAAGCAAACTAGATTGGACTTTGAAGGTATTATGGTCTGTTCTCTTTGTGTAGATCCTCTATTCTCGGATGGTACATTCCCTTGCTAATCAAATCTAATGCATGTTTGCATGTTCCACTTCAAACACATGGGTTTGTCTGTAGTTTCCGTTTCTTTATCCATCCATGTAGCCAATCTGATATGGTTTTCTGGTTGAGATGACTCGAAAAAAGTGTCCTTTAAAGTGGTCCTATTATGCTATTTTAAAGGTTCCTAATTTTGTTTTGGAGGTCTTCAACAACAGGCATCAAAAGTAAAAAAAAAAACACTATATACAATAATATACATTGCACATCACCACATTTTTCAATGATTCTCAAAAACCTCATCCGAAGATTCAGTCTCTCTAAATCCCTCCTTTCCGCAAGCCTACTCTGCTCTGATTGGCCAGATGGCACAGTCTGTTGTGATTGGTCTACAGCTTACAGCGTGTGTCTGAAACGAAACATCAATTACCAAAACTGAATTTCAGCTACGTATGCTTTCTAAAGCTCAGCGATTTTCACTGTAAGGACAGTAAAGATGGGGTCGATTTTACTATATCAATCCAAACGCGAGTCACTAGTAGTAACTAGTTAATCAATCATACTTACAGTTTGTGATTCTGAGGAGCAATTTGGTCCAAATAAAATGGGTACTGTGACTGTCCCATCTTTAATGGATAAGCGTTTTTGTAAATCCCATTTAGACCTCACAGAGATTTGAGAAGCAATCGTCAAAAGGTTATACTGCAATTATATCGCTGTGGTAATTTCTACCACTGACTCTTTACATCCTCATCGTTTGGAAGTGTTTAAAAAGAGAATTTGTTTTTGCAGAGCAGAAAACAGCATCTTCTCAAAATGTACACAACACGATCCAGCTACAGTGTTTTGAGGGCGGGTCAAAGTAGGCGTTGTTCGTGGGCAGCCAATGAAGTCCACAGGCGGGCATTATGCAGATGTGTCACGGCATTACATATGCAGGCCACGGAAGTGAGACTGGAATTTCTGACGACTCGTTTAGGCGGTTCAGAGTCAATTCTTTCTTTTGGGAGACAATAACTTTATTTATCGTGCACTTTTGACTTTGCAGACCGTTTACATTCACATATTACACACTGACTACATGAAAGGTAATATTTGAAAAAGCATAATAGGGGCACTTAAATGCTTGATTCACAAATCTTTTCATGACCCTACCATTACAATATACTAAGGGTGACGTATTCATCAATAGATTATACTTTGCACTGTTTTCATGTGTGATGTTTGTCCGTGTTTGGTTTCGCCTTTTTCTTTCCTACTCTTTTTTGGATTTTTGGGCTTGGCGGATCCTGGAAACCGCTTTTCCCAATGAATGACTAACACTGTTGGATCAAACTCCAGATTGCCCCCTTCCCCTTCATCTAGTTGTCATGTTTTCTTGTTAGAACCACACAATTATCATGTCCATGTTTAATAATAGTTTATAATTGCACATGATTAATTTGCTGCTCTCATTTCTCTCTTACTTTCTATTGGTCTAGTAAAGCCAATCAAACCAGTTGTCCCACCTCATCGACCGTCCATAAGTGATGGCAACACCACTCCAGGGCGAAAAGCTGGTGTGGCAGGGTCAGGTAGCACCCATGGCTCGGAGAGCAGTGAAGAGTTGACCATCAGCGTCAGTGTGACTCCCAGCCCCGACTCTCAAAGTGACACGGGTGAGGATCAGAAAATGTCTCATGCATGTTTTTGATTTATGCACATTGGACATCTGGGAAATCAACAAACATGGTATGTTTGAGTCATTTGGGAATATAAAGGTATATGAAAACAATTCATACAAATCTATGCTGCCACCATACTTATTCAGGGATGCACAGGTATTAAAAGTGTGGCTGATACAGGCAAGCTGTTAAAGGTAGGCTAGGCAATTGCGGAGAGGCTAGCAATTGAAATTTAGCTTTGAAAGCATGAGATCCCACCTTCCCTTCAGAGCGTCTCCAAAGCCACGCCTCCTTCAAAACACATGAACGCACTCAACTGGTTCTGCAAAGCGTCATGAGAGATGGTGTTAAATAACCTCATGTCTCAAAGCACATAACATTACAATAATAATGAACGAAAACAACTTACAGAGCTTTTACTTCTACCACCTGACTGCTGCAGATTAATTTCAGTGTTGATAGTGTTGACATAGACACACACAAATCCGAGTCCGAGGACGTGAACAGCTCCGAGTAGAAAGTCACAGGTTTCCATCTTGTAATAATGGTTACTACATGGCGTGAACGCAGCATAAGCTCGTTGTTTTGGTTCAGGAGGAACTGTAAAAGTCGGCTGCTGTTCGTTTGTGGTACTCAGTGACTGTGCATACCACTCTGCATAGCCTTACGGAACGCGCTGATGACATGGGATGTCTGCGTGAACAGGGTGTTCGGAGGTATGGAAATACATATGTTGACAGGCAGGTAGGACATTGTATCATTGCATTCGGACCAAATGATTGGACAATTTTTTTGGTCCTGAGACTTCCACAGAAGATATATCTACTTGTTTTAATATTTAGACCACTTCTATTATTGATTGCTATCATTATAACCAGTATAACAAAAAAGTGTTTATAAAACAAATTGCCTACCCTACCTTTAATTATTTTCATATTCTATACTATTTTCTCTAAATAAACAAAAAATAAAACAAAAAATAAAAACATTTTAAATGCTACATTCAAAATTATAAGCATTATAATTTACTGTATACATTTTTTTTTTTTTTGAGATTTGCTGAAGATTAGATGGGGCTATATATAGAATTCAAAATGTAAGTTTAAGTGTTTTGGCGACACCGGTGGTCGTTAAGTGAACTGCAGCCAGCAACTTTTTGCTTGTGCTCGCACTCATGCACATGTGATGTACAAATGACTGAACGTGATTCATGGCCCCATATACTCGAGTGTGTATATATATATATATAATATATATATATTTTTTTTCATATTCTTCTCTTAGAAAAAAGAAAAGTTGGAAATACCTTTGCAGTGATATACTGTTAAAAAATATCCCAAACGCCATCCATGCTGACAGCATGTTTGGATGAATATGTAAATATTTTCTGTGTGCTTTCCTCTCAATAACAAAATAAACACACAACAAAGATGACAGCGGTGAGAAAGTAGCAGTTAAGAAAGCATCTGATCATAGCGATATGGATATGTTTGTACCAGCTCTGCATCATGTCAACAGATGAGGTTATTAAAATTGATAGTTTGATTATAAAGTACATATTCACCTATCCACCTTTTTCCTACACCCCATGACACTTTGCACGATTTTGGGATTAACTTCTGTTAAACTATAAACAATCAAGGAAAGATTCGCTTTATGAACACAATAATACACAAAAACTGAGTACAATGAGATAATATTATTCTGCTCACCCTTCAACCATTGAACATTAAAAGGACATTTAAAAGTGTAAAACAAATTACTACAACAAAGCACGAATAATCCCAAAATTATTTCCCCAGCAATATTACAGACATGTTAAATATCAAAAATAGGATACATTGGAACAACTGATAATTGGTAACTGATAACCAATAATTGGAACATTAAGTGATGATATTTCAAAGTGTTTTCCGGCATTTTGACAGATAACAAATATTGTATTTAACTGCTTTATAAACATTTCAGTAAACACTGATAATAGGGATTAGAAGTAAAAAAGAGAGACAGTTACATTTTAAAGCTTGTGTGAAAACAAGCCTGGAAAGAAATGTGAGGATTTGGGGACAAAAACTAGAGATTCTTAGTGAATCATTCATGGGATGTATATTATAAATTAAATGGGAAGAACAGACCACAAATGCGCAGTAAAATGTTGTCTTTTTTCATACTGTTACAGCGGAATACAAAGAGAACAAAGAAAACAAACAGGAGGAAAAGAATGCAGCGACTGAAAAGAGCTCTTGCCATAGACATTCTTGATATACCATGTCACATTAAAATACCAAGTGTTACGTTATTCTCCTGACGTCAGAAAATAGAAAATGAAGGACATTTTCCAGCTCATTCAGATTTAGTCAAACTGATGGATAAGGGCTATTTGTAGCGCACCCTTAAGCCTGGAACACACCAAGCCGACGCCGACGAACTAGCGCCGATGAAAGCCGACTGTGTTGTCGCCTCTCGTCGGGGTAAAAAGCTGCACTTGAACACACCGACAGAACTACTGCCGACTGTCAGCTAGAATGCGCGTTCTGCGCCTGCGTGTAAATGAGACAACTGTCTATTTCTGCAGATATATTCGTCTATATTTGTCATTCAAAAAGGGGAAACCGACGCTGTCGGCTGCAGATACACAAACCATAAACAAAGCAGTGCGTGCTTACCGTTTTAAATATCAATCCTGCTAAACACTTCTTTATTCCACTCCGCTCGTGTTAATATTGAAATATTCGCCAAGGAACACTCAGGTAAGATGACGTAACATAAGAACAGCCTTCTATCTGTAGAGTTTTGACTTCTTTGCTCGCTGTTTTGCTATTATTCTCGTGCATTGACTCTTTCACTAAGCTGAACAGCCAATCAGAGTTCCCTCTTTCACCGACGGCCAGACGCCGATTCAACATGTCGAATCGGCCGAAACAAAGCCGACGAGGACCAATTTCAGCCGACGGCACGGAACCGTGCGGAGCACACCGAGGAAACTCAGTCGGCCGACGCACAAAAACTGCCCGACGGCCGACCATCGGCTTGGTGTGTTCCAGGCTTTATGATTTGAAATGATTTGTTTCAGTCTATTTGAGTGGAATCTAAAGTATTTTGGAGGAGCTTCCCCAAACCAAAAATGCCCCCCATAATCTAAAACGCAGTAAGCTTGTTAGGAAGAAGGTGGATAGACTATACAGATCTGGCTATATGAGACTATAGTTTGAATTAATCCTTTTTCTTTGCACGACACATTGACATTACAGTACAGAATAGCTCTTTCGGCATTATCCTGAACATTGTAAGCATTCAATTCCTGTGTCATTGCTCTAGGGTGCACGCGTAAACGCCACATCCTTTTAACTTTCTCGGCAAAGAGTCCTTCACGTAAAAACCAGTCTACAGGCTTTATAGACAACCTAGGACATTGGGGAAGGTTACAAAATTTTACAAGCTGTTCAAACACCGGCAATAAATAAGCGATTGATGCATGAAAATTCTTATATGTAGCCCCTTTAGATGATTTTTTTTAAACATTTAGTGAGCGTTAGATGCTGGCAAAAGTAATCAAAATGTACAAATAAAGGAAATTACTATGTGCAATTCAGTGTTAGTTTAGTAATATTTATATACTATTATACTAGGATTGTAACATGTAGTTCTATGTCTGTTTTGGTTCTGTTTTCCCTGTTCCTGGTTTGCCTGTGTTCCTGATCATTATTAGTCTCCCTGGTAGTTAATTAGTTCCTGCACCTATTCTGTTTTACTTTGATTACTCCCCTGTGTATTTAAGCCCTCAGTTTCCTTTGTTTCATTGTCCGGTATCGTCCTTGTTTTTATGTGGTTGTGTGTTAGTTTGCTCCGGCGATCTCCTGTATGTTCCTTTTTGGATTAATAAAGAAGTGTTTGTTTGGATTCTCCCGCGTCGTGCGATTACTACTACATTATAAGTACTATTATAGTATATTAATTTTATTTTTGATTTTTATATTTTAATTAGTGCTGTCAACGTTAACGCATGCGATTTAAATTTTTTCTAGTTTAACGCGTTAATAATATTTAACGCAATTAACGCAGCATCCGTTTTTTTTCTGCCATCCTTTGTTCAGCGTTACATTTATATGATTGCGCTTTTATTCATGCAAATGCTTTTAAACCATTTAAGCGCGACAAGAGATAATGCACTGTTTATGAACATCCTGTCTATGTGACACACACACACACACACACACACAAGGCACAGAAAGAAACGCACCAGTATTGTGCGCACAGACAGCGCTCCAAAATCGAGTTCTCCTTCGCGCTTGAACTAAATTCAACAGCCACTAAAGCTGTCTGTCATTAATGTTAATCAAAGAACAAAGGTAAGAGAGAAAAACACTCACTGCTTTTGACTTAAGAACATTTGTAGCTTTAATAAGGATTAATCCTATATTTAATTTATAATTTATGCAGTGCAGACTGTTTGATAACTTTATTCAATTTCTGTATATTTCCTACCTGTTAGACAGGTACGAGGAGGAACAGGTAAATATGACATTTATTATGGTTTATGTGAGGTTGTTATATTTTATGAAGCCTAATAAATGTTAAAAAATGTATAGCTTGCATTCAATTACACTGTAATGTTGAATGGCTATAATTGTTTAAATCATTTTCATTGAGACATCAGTAGCCTTTATTCATAAAAAGATGCCATTTAACAAATATTTAATTACATTATAAAACGTATAAAAACATAAGTGTTTTTAATTGCGATTGATCGCGATTTATCGCAGAAAAAATGTGTGATTTAATCTAGTTAATTTTTTAATCGATTGTCAGCACTAATTTTAAATTTAAGTTCATTTTTTGGTCATTTTGTTATGTGCTTTTGTCTGTTTTATATTTTTTTGATACTATTTAGGTTTTATTTTTCTTTTGTTTATTTCCAGTTTGTTTTAGTGCTTCAACTTTAGTTAGTTAATTTCGAATTTTCGTTTAGTATATCAAACATGTTACAAATGTTAATAGTTTTAGTTAACGATAAGGTAAAACAAAAAACCTGGACGTTAATATTATTGAATGACCCCCTACTGTTTCCTTGTATAGGTGTCAATAACAATCGGTCAGACCCCAAACCAGTCTCAGAGGGGGGTGATGCATCTCCTGTCAGCATTGGTGGGGGTCTCACCATCTGTGAACCTCTCTCTGTCATTGACATCCCTCCAGAGGACAGTCAGGACAGTGGCAGGTAAGAAAGCTGGAAAAAGAATGAGGAGAGTATATAGAGACAACACATAAAAAATGCAAAACTCACAATGAAATAACTAAACAAACTGTTAGCATACTTTTATAACTGTGCAGAAGTAGTTACAGTTTTACCGTCTACTATATAATTAAGGGAGAGTGGTAAAACTCCCTGTCTGCTTTGTCCTGGGGAGCGTGCTGTGTCCCTCCTGTGCTACTGCTCCTGCTGCTGCCCGCAATATACGCTACCCTCCTTGTGGACAGCAAAGACCAAGATGATCCCTTACTGCGCATACCACCTCCCTCCCTTTCCCCTCCTATCCTAACACCCTTTTTTCCCCACTCCTCACTTTTTTCTCTGCATTTTGTTGCCTCCTTTTTTTTGTTTCTTGTTGTCTGTTTCTTCCTCGTCCCACATGGTGTACTGCTATGCGAGTCATTTTTGTAAGCTTTCAGTTTTTGTAAGCGTCCCGCAGTCTTCCTTCGCAGCCATCCAACGCTGTGTCCTGCAATGTCGCGCTAAGGCACAAAGCTATCAAAATAAGCAGATTGTGAGATTTGGGCAAATATTACGACCACTCAACTATTTGGAGAGTTATGTTTTTGGTTCTGTAGTTAGAAGGTTGTTATTTGGCAGAAGCTGTCATCCGAAGTGACTTTTGGTGCACGTTTGACCGGGAAAATTTAGCAGGAGCAACCTGGTGTTATGCGGTATGGTACAATGGCGATAGTTACTTGAGGGATTTGAACCTTCAGGTCATCAGATTTTTAACCTAAACTCAACATAATGTATCTGCTTTACTTATTGTTTGTAGTATATGGCATAAAACTAGCATAACTGAATTAGCTGTGCATTTTTATTTTGCTCGTGCAACTGTCCTTCATGTGGAAGCATTGTTTGTTGCTTTTATCTGTTGTTGTCTCGCTTTGTTGTTGGCCGTCAGATTCGATTTTCTTCAAGGTTAGTTGGTTTATAGTCGGAAGTTTTGGTTTGGTGTATGTTGAAAAACGGTTTGTTGTCAGTTGTGCTGTTAACTGTTCGTTGTCCTATGTTTTTACAGAAGGAAGACAAGGTGGGTCTGCGCGAATGTCTCTGGGATTTTCTGCCAGCCTCAAGCTGCTACTGATCCACACATGCTCTTACCAAACACAGATCACATTACGTGTTATAATTTATATCGTAGAAATTTTGGAAAATGAGTGGCATGGTTTTTTTATGCTTTAGATTCACTTACAGACTCACACAGACACTCACTGCATGGCTAAGTATGGTTCTTCTCTGGTTTTTGGGCTTTAGGGATTCAGGCCAGAAGTATCTGCTTTTTTGGAATGCTTTGCACAAGTGGAACCCAATTACTTGCCAAAAGTGTTTTAGGTGTTCAAATGCATTGTGATGCTGTGTATGATACGTTTAGAAAGAAATGGAGATGTTTTTCTAATGTGGATTCTAGAAGGGTTTAGACTGTTGGGGCTGAATGAATCTCCTTGATGAACTAGTTAATAACATGTTATATAGTATAGTGGTTTTAACATCAGTTGTCTTCACATTTCACTCTCTGAATCATTTATTCATTTTCTGCTTCTATCATCTGTTCATGTTATCTGTGGTGTCTTACCTCACTGACATCTGTCTGTCCCTTCCACTGTTTTTTTGTGTTGTTTGTTTTTGTTTTCCAAACATTTCACTAAAACATTTCTGCGACTTCATTACCCCTTCCCTTTCCACTCTTTTCCTATCCTTTCTTTCCCCCCTCTTATTCTTCATTTTCCTTTTCTTGTCTTTTTCATCCTCCTTGTTCATTCCTGTTCCCTTACATCTTACTTTTCCCTTTCTGTACCTTTCTTTTCTTCCTCTTCCTTTTCTTTCTTTTCCTTTGCTTTCCCTTCCTTTCCTATATCTTTCTTTTTCCTTTCCTTTCACCCTCCTCTTTCTTTTCCTTTTCGTTCATTTCCTTTTTCCTTACCTATCGTTTCCTTCCCTTCTATTTCCTTTTGCTTCTCTACCTTTTCCTTTTTTCTTTTTTTCCTTTGTTCCCTTTTCTTTCCTTCCTCATCCTCCTCTTCTCTTCAACCTCCCACCCTCTCTTGGGTGTTCAGGAACGTGCGGCGTAGCGAGAGTCTATGTGTGGAGCGCCGTCACTCTCGCCGTGGTGGCTCTACCCGGGCCAAGCAGTCTCGCTCCCGTAGCGACGTGGACCTGCAGTCAACTTCCACTTCCCATCCCCTCTCACCCTCCCCACAGCATTCAGTCCCGTAAGGCAAAGACTAATTGTCACGCACACTCATATACACACCGTCCACAGGAGACAGCAGCACAAAAGGCTTCTCAGTAACTCATACTGAGTTCAGAGATTGTGATCATCACTACCTTAAATGGATAGTTCACCCAAAAATGAAAATTCGTTCATTATTTTACTCACTCTCATGTCAACACAAATGAAGATCTTTTTAAAGAAATCTGAGAGATTTCTGTCCCTCCGTTGACAGCTACGCAACTACTGTTTTGACGCTTCAAAAAGTTCATAAAGCGATCGTAAAACTAATCCATATTAATTTAGCGGTTTAGTCCAAATTTTCTGAAGAGACTCGATCGCTTTATGTGATGAACAGATTGAATTTAGGCTTTTATTCACATAAACATTCATCAACTCACACATCAGTTGTGGTAAACGCAAGCCTTAAGCATGTTCGCTTGACGTGCGAGAACCAATGAGGTTCATTCTCATGTGTTACGCAGCAACCAATGAGGTTCATTCTTGTGTGTTACGCAGCAACCAATGAGGTTCATTCTTGTGTTACGCAGCACGTTTGAGCTTCCGCAAGAACCAATGAGGTTTGTTTTTGCACGTCAAGCAGGTTCGGTTGAGCTTCTGTTTATGTTCGCTGATCAATGTTTAAATGTGAATAAAAGCCTAAATTCAATCTGTTCATCACATAAAGCAATCAAGTCTCCTCAGAAAATTTGGACTAAACCGCTCAATTCTTATGGATTAGGTTTTACGATTTCTTCATGAACTTTTTGAAGTGTCAAAGTGGTAGTTGCGTAGCTGTCAATGGAGGGAATGAAATCTCTCAGATTTAATTAAAGATCTTCATTTGTATTCCGAAGAGTAACGGGCGTCTTACGGGTTCGGAACGACATGAGGGTGAGTAATTAATGACAGAATTTTTGGGTGAGCTAACCCTTTAAATATTTTCACAATGCTTAACATGTATGTATCCCTTTTCACTTTGTTCCTTTTATTTGTCTCTCACAGTGTGGAAGGTGGATTGTTGACCGATGGCCCCTTCACTGGTCCTGCTTTTGGCCCCTTCCCTCAGCAGGAGGAAATGGAGCCCCGCCTCCTAGAGCTCGAGCTGGACCCGCCCAACTGGAGGGAACTTGCTCCCAGTGAGAACCTGAAAAAACTGAGCAAGAAGGAAATCAAAAGACAAGAGGTCATCAATGGTAATAAATGCAAGAACATTGAAAAAAAATTATAGAAAAGGCCTTAATGTTTTGTTGGATCTGCTATGTAGCAAGGTGCAATGATGAACATGTTTTTCTTTCTGTCTCTCAGAGCTGTTTGCGACAGAGCACGCTCATGTTCGTATGCTGAGCGTATTGCAAACTGTGTTTTCTCGACCACTGGAGAGGGAAGAGATTATGAGCATAACTGAGCTGGCCACCATCTTCCCCAGCCTGGATGAGATCATAGAGATGCACTGTACGTAACTACCTCAAATGCATTAATACACTGAAATCTGCATGGTTATAAAATATTTTGATTGCCAATCAAGTCATACATAAATAGTCACAACAGACTTGATATAGCTAAAATTCTTCTTTTTTTTTAGATGCTTTTTATGAGAACCTGAAAAAACTGCGTGAGGAAGATGATTACATTGTCAAAATCATAAGCACGCCACTTCTCAACAGGGTAAGTGGCTTAGAGTGTGCTAAACGCTAGTTTTTCCTTGTTTTCTTTAACACTGGGTCATTCAGCATTCATGTTGAATGCTTGAATGTATATTAGCTGTTATACAAGCAGACATGTCTTTTATCTCTGTAGTTCAGTGGATCAGAAGGAGAATGGTTTCAGAAGCTTACCGCACGCTTCTGTAGCTACCAGACCTGGGCTCTGGAGCTGATAAAGAGCAGACAGAAGAAGGACCCTCGTTTTAATCTTTTCATACTGGTACGTTTACACTTAAAACACTGTTGTCCAGGTAAAAGCGTTAACTTGACTTTTTCTGGAGACTTGGCTTCGTAGTCATTAGTTGTTTCCATCCACCTATTTTTATGAGCATTTTCATCATTCACATAAAAAAACGCTGGATGGAAACGCCAAAATGCGCATACATTCTAAAAAATGCACATGTAAAATGTATGCGCTCAATTGAGTCAGATAAACTTTTGATCCGATGAGAAGACATGCGCATAAACTGCAATGGAAACGCATTTACAGAATAAATTCCTCAATGTGCATCAAAAAAGACATTTGCAATGGGACAGCATAACTAGACTAACCAGCTGACCAATCTCATTGCACAGCATCTGAAATGTTGTTCTAGTCATTCTGAAATGCCTGAGCAAAGTCCCTTGTCAAAGTGATCCGGTATAATTACCTGCCAGAACTGCCTTACACGACTGTGTGCTCTGAGGTCGCAAGTAATTTATTATATACGAAATGTTTAAATACAGTGGCTTCTCCTACTGCAGGAACTTCTATTTTTCTTAGGGATATTTTGCGGCCATTTATCAGGAAGTGACAATTTTGTTCTCTTCTGTTCACTGGATGCAAACTGTGCTTTATGCGCAAATTTTTTATGTGATATGATATTCCAATTTTGCGCATAAGTTAAATTTGCAACTTTGGATGGGAACATAGCTATTGTAGTCCAAGACGAATTTCCCCAGAATGGGAAATTCTATTTTATTCTATTCTATCTCAAAATGTCTTTTGGGAAATGGAATCTTTTGTGTTTGTGTTGTAGGACGCAGAGAGTAAGCCACAGTGTCGGAGGCTACAGCTGAAGGATATCATTCCCATAGAGATGCAAAGACTAACCAAGTACCCTCTTCTGCTGGCCAATATTGCAAAGGACACAGGTGTGTGTTTCATATCTATTCATACTTTATTTATAGTTAAACTTTTGTGCAAATATTGCTGCCTCCAATATTGTAATGTCATAAAATCTTGTCCTTTGGGATTTTTCTCAGCAATTGACAGTATATGCAATTAATTATCCTTAATTTGATTGCTTAATCAGCATATCATGTAATTACATCAGTTACTGTTTGACAGCACTAACAATACTGCAATATATTAGACAAAAAAATGTAAAGTTTATAGCCAATGTCCATTTCTCACAGTGGATGAAGCAGAAAAAGAGAACATTAACCAAGCAGCTGAATCCTGCCGCAAGGTCCTTAACCACGTCAATGAAGAAGTCAAACTCATGGAGAACCTGCTGGTTAGAACATTCAGTACAAGTTCTTAAAAAAAACAGGGTCTACTAAAGGTGATGATACACAGGGCAACTTTTTGAGCAATGTTGCTGGGCAATCTTGCCGAGCGATTGTTGCTTGGGCACTTTCCCATTGAAAATGGGCAATAAATTTCTATCTGGATAATTTAGATCGGTCGTGGGCCCTGTCTCTCATCTGGTTGCCCGTTGACGGCAACATTGCCCAGCAACATTGCTCAAAAAGTTGCCCTGTGTGTCATCACCTTAAGGCTGTGTGGTTTGGCATTATACAGGCATTACTACATTCCAGCATGTTGTGATGTATGTATTTAGTGTGATATAAAATTGCTCATACTGTGATCAAATATTTTAGTCATACCGCCCACCCTATATGGATAGTTTAAGCTTGATTCATAATTTTTAATATCCACTCTTCTTTAAACTCAGATTTTGAAAGACTACCAGCGCCGACTGGACACCTCAGGATTGAAACCCAGTAATGACCTTTACAGTGAGTACAAGGTGAGAAATATCTTGACATATGTATCAGTTCCGTTACTAATGAAGGCACTCTCAGACTGGTATGATATCCACTCTTTTCTCTATTCATCAGAACATTGATCTGACCACCAGAAAGATGCTGTATGAAGGATCTCTGACATGGAGGGTGACCAAGGAGAAAGCGATTGGTAATCTTGCCAATTGAAAAAATGTGATAGTTTTTAGTGTCATCAGTCTGTAATCAAGAACCGGGCTTGTTACTCACTCTATTTTTGGTGTATTTGCAGATGTGCACTGTGTGTTGCTGTCAGACCTGCTGGTCTTGCTTCAGAAGCAGGATGATAAGATGGTTTTGAAATGTCAGAGCAAAAGCAACATCGCTGCTCAAGAAGGCAAACTGATGCTGAGTCCAATCATCAAACTGGAGTCTGTTTTCCTCAGAGAAGTGGCCACTGGTGAGTGAGAGTTTTTAATGAGTTTCAGTAAGTTAGCTTGTTGTTTTCTTTCTTTTTCACCTAATTTTTATTATTGATTTTCAAAAAAATGTTTTATATAGTTGTTATGCCCTGCCTAGGGTAAAGGACGCAAGATGAAAGTAAAAAGACTTTAGAATGAAACAATAAAGATTTAAAAAAATGATTGAATGCTTTAATGGCAATGAAAAACGGATTTTAACTTTAGGAACCGATAAGGCCAAAATATCAAACTCCATACTAATATTATATATATATTAGTGCTGCACGATTAATCATATCGTAATCGCGATGTCAAGCCTATGCGATTATATGACGCAAAATACTGCGATTTTATATGAAATAAACAAATTAACGCAGCATCTGTTATTTTTTGTCATCCTTTGGCTAGTGTTACATGATCCCGCTCTTATTCATGCGAATGCTTTAAACCAGTGAGACAAGTCAAAAGAGCGCGCTGCCTGTGAATGTCCTGACTGAAAGACGCGCGCCAGTATAATGCGCATGCACAGATCGCGCGCCAGAATACAGTTCTCCTTCCGCTTGAAGTGAACGAACAATAACACACACACAATTATGCCAAAATATCATTTGTCGAGTGTCTTCATAACATAAGAGCAGTCTTATGATGGTCGCAAAGAGTTGTGAGAGAATAATGCGCGTGTGAGATCCGCGTCTCTGTCAGCAACTCTTAAAGGGCCAGCATCCAATAATGCTTTCTGTCAGTAAAGTTAATCAAAGGAAACAGAGAAAAACACCCACTGCTCTTGACCAAAGAACTTGTGTAGCTTTAAATAGGATTTTAGTCCATATAATTTATAATTTATGCAGCGCAGACTGTTTGATAACTTTATTCAATTTCTGTATTATGTCCTACCTGTTAGACAGGAAGAGCACAGGTAAATATGACATTTATTATGGGTTTATGTGAGGATTATTTGAAGTTCACTTAAATTAAAATTAAATAAATTATTATCCAGACATCAATGGCTTATTGATCATTATGGGTCTTATCAATCATTTAGTTGTTGTTGCTAGTTTGAGAAATACACATTTCAGAATTATCACTAATCTGTGTGTGCATTTTTCTTTAGAACCAAGCAAGTTGACTCATGAAACCGTTTGTTTATTATATCACAATCGCATATCGCAATATTGACCTCGATAATCGCAATATGACATTTTCCCCAAATCGTGCAGCCCTAATATATATATATATATATATATATATATATATATATGTATATATATGTATATGCATACACACACACACATATATATATATATATATATATATATATATATATATATATATTAGGGGCTGTCAGTTAAACGCGTTATTAACGGCGTTAACGCAAACCCATTTTAACGGCGTTAATTTTTTTATCGCGCGATTAACGGTCTTTTTGGCCTAGCAAACTTTGTAGTTTCTTTTCACATGCTTTTTGCAACAGGACGCGCCATGCGCGGCGCGGCGCTATGAAACCCATTCATTTCAATGGCTTGCGCTGCGCGAGGACGTTTTATTGCTTCGTCGATCAAAGCGCAAGCGGATGTAGCTAGACCGGAAACAAAACAACAGGCACGACGCCGCACACTCTCGTTTGGGCTTGCGAGCCGGCCAAATAGTTGGTTAACGTTACGTTTTGAGTGGATGACAAGCGCGAGACGCCGAAATGGATGTCAATAAGATTCTGAATGGAAAGTTTACTTTTAAAAAGTTGCCAAATGGTTCCATTGACAAGACCAAAGTGATCTGTGTGTTTTGTCGTTGTGAACTGAGCTATCATCATCGCAGCACGTCCAGTCTGAAACACCACTTTTCTTTTTTTTCTTTTTATTATATGACATAATACAGTAGATTTAAATGTTTCACATATACTGTTCTAAATTATTACAAATCATCATAAGATATGAAGAGCATTAAAGATGAAATTAAAGAACATTCGAATCACATATTAGAAACAAGAAAAAGAAAGAAAGAAAAAAAAATGGAAAGGAGATATACATTTATAATTAAAATAAAGAAGAGGAATTTAATTCTTTTGAAACACCACTTGATGGCCAAGCACACACACACACACAGCTGATGCGCATTCTCCGCCTCCCTCATCAATATCAGGACCTGTCAGTATTTCTTTCACCCTTTTATTGATAGACAGTGTTACATTGTGTGAGAGATTATTTGCTCCAAGTGAGAATGTTAGTGTGAAATTGAACACAGTATTGTCAATGTTGTTTTCAATAAAAAAAACATTTGCACAAAGCAAGCCGATCCACTTTTCCATGTTGATAAGAGCATTAAAATGAGAAAAAATAATGGGACAAAAAGAAATCAAGAAACATTTAGAATAGATAAAAATGTGCGATTAATTGCGATTAATCGCGATTTAACTGTGACATTTATGCAATTAATCGCGATTAAATATTTTAATCATTTGACAGCACTAATATATATATATATATATATATATTTATAAAATAATATCATCATGTACACCTGGGATACTTACAAAAGCAAGCTAACAAATCAGAAAGAGCAATACCAAAATCAAAGTTGATAAACAGGTCGTTGTATTGTTTTTATTTCAATTAGCCTAATAGCTGGTTTGATTTGCATTGAGAGATGATCTTATGGAAGACCTATCTCCTGATGCCAATTTCTAGGTATGGTGAAGGGTATGTGATGATGTGGGGCTATTTTAATTCCAAAGGCCAAGGGAACTTATGCTAAGCACTGTAGCTTTACATACATACCGTCATTGAATATTGTTTACATTATAGGACTCACCCATTCATCCATTTCTCACCATATGTTAGTGATAGATCCTTTTTAAGCCTCAAAATACAAGGCAATTCTTCCAAGTTTGTTATATTCTGAAGAACATAAGTTTGATATGCAGTTACTTTCGTTCTTTCCATCAGACCCGAAGGCCCTCTATGTCATCTTCACCTGGGATAGCGGAGCACAGATCTATGAACTAGTGGCTCAGACCGTAGGGGAGAGGAAAAAGTGAGTATGTGAACCATATAAAGCCATTTATATGGAACGTTTACATAAATGACTGACAAGCAGATTATATGAAATTTTGCTTTTGATAAATTGAGATCCAAAGCATGTAATTTGATCTGACACTCAGTCTGTTTAATGCTCCAGTTGGACAGAGGCGATCAAAAATACTGTTGACGAGTTGAAGAAGAGGGGTGGGAAACCGCTGGATAGACATAGAGGTGGCAGCACACCCAACAGCGCCATTGGACCTGCATATAACTCGTGAGTGTGTTTGCTGTTGTTGTTGTTGATGTTTTTTTTGGCAAATGGCAAGGCCCCATAAAAGAATACAAGCATCCTTTTAGAATGGGGTCCCACCCCTAGCCTACTCTAAGCCAGCTTCAGTCATCAAAGCTCTTTCCATTTCTCTTCTCCAGTTTTAATCCTCCTCTTAGCCCCACTGAGAACGGAGGAGACCTGTTGAAAAGTCGCAGTATTGGTGAGATTTTTGGCTCTTGGAAACTTGGATATTAAGCCTATCCATGTAATTTTACTGTGGTATTTTATTGTGACTGTGTGTTTTATTTCACCATAGGGCGATTTAAAGACGGTCTTACTGATGAAAAGGGTAGAGAAACTGATCCTCCACTCATAGACTACCTAGCGGCCAATGGCTTTGACCTGCTCACCCACAGCCACACCCCTCCAGAGAAGTCCGCTAATGGTGCTTTGGAAGAAGGTCAGTATTTATGAAATTTTATACAATTCTAACAGACTGCATTGCACCCCTACAATTTTATTCCATACTTGATCTTCATGCTTGTATTCCTCTCGCAGTCATGTATTTGAAGAGGCTACTGGTTGGGAGTATTAGCCTGTCAGATGATTCTCAGACTCTTGGGGAAAATGGAGGGACGGCACCTGAAAGCCAGGAGGCAGATGGAGTTCAGTCGTCAGGTACTGCACACATATTGCTTTAGGTTTTAAGCTGAAGAGGTTCAGCCTTACACTTAATCATCAAGTACAGCTGTGATCCCTCCTAACCAAACCTCATTCAGGTCTGTGATAAATCCTAGTAAAAAAATGTTGCTGTATAAGATTATTATTATTATGTGTGTGTGTAATGTTTATAAATACAATAATCTTATATATGTATTTATTAAGTATATGAAGACTTCAGATGCAAAAGCCTCTAAGTCCATCTAAAGTTTTTGTTTAATATTAACATTTTTATCAGGCTCCTTTGTAGAGGTTTCTACCAAGGGGACCGGCATTTCTGAATGGGCTAAAGCTGGGATTTAATGAATTTGATGTGAAAGTATTTGATGAACGTATATACTATGTGCGGAGAGCATTCACTCAATATTATTATCTCATTTTTGACAGAGGTGGCTTTTAGAGGCTTTTGCATCGGAGTTCTTCATATATACATAGATATACGCATATAATAAGGTCCCATTAGTTAATGCACTAACTAAAAATGTATGTTAAAAAAAATTTATATATGTGTGTGTGTATATATATATATACATGCATACATACACAAATATATATATATATATATATATATTTGTGTATGTATGCATGTATGTGATGTATATAGAACGATGTATACGAATGGATATAGAATTTAGGGGTGTTTCTTCTGATACATTTTGAAATTCCTGATGCCTTTTTTCCCCTCTAAGTGGAGGAATCCAGCACAGAAGGAAGAACTGAAGGAGAAGAGGCTGGGGGAGATGGAGGGAATAAAGGAGAAGGGGAAAGAGGGATCAGCGCTCCTCTTGTGCTTTCTCAGGAACGCATGGAGGAGGTGCAGAGGAGACTGCAGGCTCTCGAGGAGCATCTGAAGAGACTGCAGGTGAGGAGGAATCAATTGCATTTGTGAAATCGAACTGTCAGCTCTTCAGTTTTTGAAGAGGAAGAGAGGAGTAATAGGGCTCCATCCGAGTGAGGGGAAGCTGAGAGAGTAGTCCTTCCTAATATGTATCTCTGTTGTTCTATTTGTTCCCAGGCTGTTGAGGAGGACCATTATAAGTTGCAAGAAGCTCTTGCTAAATATTCACTTCAGGCTGGCCATTTCCACTGAGAAACATCACAACATGCTGTTAAAAGGTACAACCACATACTAAATACAATACTGTAATCTTTATTTTTATATAGTGCCATTCTGTTTTTTGTAAGTATAGCAACTCGGTTTCTATCGTCTGTCCTTTTTGTCCTCAGATCACTGTATGTGCTGGACTTGGGACTTGCTTCCTGGGAACTCGCTGATTGACTAATGCTGCCTGAATGTTCCTGCTCTATCTCATCTCTCTTCTCAACTGTTCTTTCAGAAGATTGACAGCAGGCCTCCAGCAGTTTCCATACCACTGAGAAATGAAATGAAGTGGGTGTTGAGAAATTATAGTGATCATTGAGCATGAATGAGTGTGTATGTGTTTCTGTTGAGAGGTGTGAGAGAAAGTCTTTCCAAAAAATGCCAAAGAAATGTGCAACACCTAGAGAGATATCAGAGCGAAACGCTAAGTGTGCATGTGGAAGCATTATAACATGCACGCACACACAAAGATTAACCTGTCTAAGCATGTCAAAAGTAATTTAGTACCAAAAGGCTATCTATATTCATAGGAAAGTATAGTGAATGCAGTCTGATGCATATGAAGCCTAATGCTCAGACTGTAGTTCAGTCAGGTTTTCAAAGTTAATTTAAACAGATAATGTGCCCTTTCATATTTCTTTTTGCCATTTTTTTAAAGATCATGTTCGCTCATCTTAATATTTATTACCATACACCATTACATGCATTTTAAAAAAAATTACAGATATTGAAATGGATAAATGCAGAGTATTGAGTCTTTTGTAACATGCATTGGCCAAACTGTTGTAAAATGGAGAGTAAAAGCATAGAAAACCCTGTTTTATTTTGTTTTTGTTACCAGAAGTTATGTTATTGCTATATGAATGAGAAAAGAAATGCTAAGTAGGAGATATCGATACATAAAGAGGAGGTAAAGAGGAGGTTTGGGGACGCTGGGCTTGCTTTAAGTTAAGTCTTGCCTAAGTCCAGGCAAGTTCTGATGTTGAGAGATGCAAGATTTGACGTGGCAAAGGTTTGATGTTGAGAGACGTCATCAGGGTTTGAGGAAATATGCATAATATGACGTAGAAGTTTGAATGTAACTTATGCATGATACAGACCAGCTTGTAGGTACATCCCCACTTCGGTGTTATAACATATGAAGCATGCACAATATATAACATTCTTTGACCAGGGTGTTGCAAAGAGTACTGTGGTAATTCTACACAGAACTGATGATAATCATCACACATTGCCGATTTGTGAGCCTCTATGCAAATTCTTCATGTGGTGTGGCTGTTACAGGCTTCAGCCATTTCGTTTATTTCAGGTTTAAATGTTCTACATTTAGTTACAAGTTGGATGCAATGGATATATAGTCTTGGTTTGCAAAAAAATATAACTTTATTTCATTTCATTGTTTTCTATATGTTTCTATAAGCAGGACCAAAGAGATGATAGCGGAACAAAGTTTAGATATAAAAAAAACATCTTTGTTTTGCATAGGGAGGTCAGCTGTAAATTGGAATGACTTACTGAGTTTAAAGGGGGGTCTAGTCTCCCACCCCTTTCCAAACTATGAGTGGTCGCCTTAGCTGCTGGATCAACCCACAAAATGGTGAAGAGGATGGATTTGCTTGTAAACGTGTTGCTGTATCAATTATAGGGGAGTATCCTGGATTTCATTATCAGTCCATGTTTTTCAGCTTTAGGGACCGGCTTGTTCTCTCCTGCTCTCATATCTTACTAGTAAATCAGACCACAGAGGATCAGGCAATTGCAGGGGCTTAAAAGTGTTATATCTCAGTGTTCAGAGACGGGGACACAAACAGTAGGTTTTCACACCAGTACTGGAATTATTTTCATGTATTCATGATCACTGCAACAGGTTTTTCTGCCCCCGACCAATTTTACCTTATTTGTTACATAGTGTGATTTATATTCACATTTAAGTTGTAATTGTGTTGTCTATTCTGATATATGTAAGGCCTTGTTTCCATTTCCCTCGCTTTCCTTAGCGGTTTACCTTCATAACAGTCAAAAGACGTACTGTAAGACTTATGTACAAGGTGGATTACCAGAAGTCTTGCTTATTGGCCAGCAGTGTTGTTTCTAGTACACATCAATCATAACTTTTTCTTTCTTTTTCTCCCTTTTAGAAGTAGCAAATGATAATGCTTAAAGTTTGGTAATGAAACTATCATGGTGTGACATCTGTTCTACCCACTTTACTTTCCTACAGTCCTTTTGCGCAATTTTTTCATTCGCGATTGCTTGAATGGGTGATTCATTCATTCTCTTCGATTCTGTTGTCTTGATTTTCTTTGAAAACGATGTAATTACAGTACTATGCATTGCCTATTATAATTAAGGGACTGAGAGAGACACAAAGTACATCATTGACCATACTAACTATAAAAGGCTTCACTTTTATGGCAGGAGCCATGTGGAATTTCCCACAATTTAAACATTTTAAACTCAAGTCATTTTCAGACTGAACCTTTGGTATCCCTATGAACTCTTTATAATGGGTAAGACTGGGTCATTTCTCTCTTATCCCTTAAACTTTTCATGTGTATCTGTCACATATACGCATATATAGTGATATATCTGTATGTTTACATCTATTTATAGGGTGCCTTGTGCAAAATTGGGTTTGTTGACATGCCCTCTCTTCATTTAGCGATTTTCAGTTTTAAATGCAAACCCCTTGTTCTTTAAAATGGCTGAGTGCTTAGTACTGAGTGCTCTTCGTTAGGTCTTTTAAAACTTCTGAGTCTATGACTTTCTTTTATGTAATTCTGTGTACAGGAGTCCACTTGATACAGGCATTCCATTGCTGTCTGTCTATATAATTGATTATGCAAGGACTATTCTGTGTATTTGGGCTTTGATTTTATATGTAAGTTACTTAAGAACAATGTAGGTACGTTTTTTTTTTTTATTATAATTTTCTTTTCTTTCTTTTTTTAAATAAATGATCAAAAACTACGAGATTTTATTGTCCTCAATTTCTGAAGCATTCGCTTTATATTAACAGATTACCCCATTATCCAAGAAAGCGTGTGTGTGTGTGCGTGTGCGTGTGCGTGTGCGTGTGCGTGTGCGTGTGCGTGTGCGTGTGTGTGTGTGTGTGTGTGTACCACAAACTGAAATAGAAGAATGGGTGGGTGTAGATGATACAGGAAAGGGAGACAAACACTCAGACAGTAAATTAACTTGCGAGCAGCAGTAGGTTTCTTCAGTTTGTCTGGTTTATTGGAGAAAATGGAGTTCGGACTGGTCATTTTGTTGTGTTTCTGGGCAGGTGGGTGTTTAACATGCATCTAATGTGTTTATGTAGCGTTGATTTTAATGTGGAATGTTAATATTTTTTTCAGCACTCATTATAACTTAACTGGTTCTAAAGTAATCTGGGCTTTCTTTGAGCAACTGATTGTAATCTAAATCTACAGTTTTTAGGCAGCATACCATTTTAAATTGATTATGAAACTTTTTTTATCTTCTACAAAATAACAAAGTACACAACATTTCCATCTGCACATCTGCGTTCTGCTTCAGTGAAGCTGATTTCCTCTCAGAGCAGCTGTTACAATTTGTATCTTATTACTAGCAGTGTGTAGGGGTTTTTTCCCACTTTTTTTCAGTGTGACTTTCAATTTTAAAGGTCTAATTTAATTTTACACTGTATTGTGTAGCTTTTGACTGTATGAATCTAAGTCTTGTCTATAAAGCATTATGTGGGTGGGAAGTGTACGGTTTAGTTAATAGATTTAAACATGCTGATATCATGTGGACTGAAGTGAATGCCCGCTGGGGGAGTAAAGCTGTAGCCCATATTAAGCTGCTTTGATATAAGAAGTTTTTAATCACTTATGACCGTATCTTAAAGAAATCCCCACTGTGGACAAGTCACTGACTGTTTTAAACACTGCTTTTTCTGGTGTCTTCCACCCTCAATTAGACCATATAATATTTAACTACTGTCATGTGGATTTTTGGTTTATTGTCCTTTGCATAAGCTGTTGCCAACGCTAAAGTAGAAGAAGAAGAGCTGAAACTGGAGGCGGATGAGCCGTTTCAGCGTGTGGCCGTCGACCATAAAGCTACAGTCCGCTGCTGCTACCGTTGGAAGGAGAGCCCCGGCGTCATCTGGATCATGAATGTTCAAACCATCAATGGCACCACACTGCCCAGATTAGTAAATCAGTCCGAGAATGTGACACCCATGCCAATGGATGAAACCAATGGAGTCAAATGCCATTCGCTGGTTTTCAAGAGCCTCCAACTCAATGATACCGGCCTTTACCAGTGTAAATTGAATCTTGGCTCACTTCACGCCTTTACCCATGGTACCTTCCTTCAAGCGTACAGTGAGTCAGATCATAGTTATATGTTAAAGTTTACTCAATTTTTTTTCTTGTAATCATCACACAAACCATTTCAGCTAATAACACTACTGGTGAAAAGTTTAGTAAATGTAGGATGTTTTTAATGTTTTTGAAAGAAGTCTCATTCTTACAAAGATCCCATTATTATCCTACCTGTAGTAAAAAAAAAGTTTGATTGAGAAATAATATTATAATTTAAAATGGCTGCTTTCTATTTTAATATACACAAGCGTTCAAACGTTTGGGATCAGTAAGATTTCTCCATAGTCTCTTATGCTCAGCAAGGCTGCATTTATTTGACCCAAAATACAGTAAAACAGTAATATTGTGAAATTGTTGCAATTTAAAATCATTGTTTTGAATATGTTTTCAAATATAATTTATTCCAGTGATGAAACGTTGAATTTTCTGCTTCATTACTCCAGTCTTCAGTGTCGCACGATTCCTTCAGAAATCTATCTAATATGATGATCTGGTGCTCAAGAACATTTATTATTATCAATGTTGTGCTTCTTAATATTTTTGTGGAAACAGTGATACATTTATTTCAGAATTCTTTTCAGGGAGGTTCAAAATAACTTTTATTTGAACTAAATTTTTTGTGTAACAATGTAAAAGTCGCTTGTGATGAATTGAGTGCATCCTTGCTGAATAAAAGTACTAATATCTTAAAGTGTACTGCCCTCAAATTTTGAACAATAGTGTATAATACATACTGTACTGTATATAATTTAAGATTATGCATTGCAATGTAATATTGCACATAATTTGTTGTAGGCCCACTATTTATTCTTCATTACATAAATATGATATGCAAGTCACAAACTTAACAATGCAAGTACTCAAGCTCTCTAAGAGGCTGCATTGTGCAATAATCCCCACAAATCATTTAATTGGCTGAGTTAGGCAAACACAAATAGCCCATTCAATGACATAAACCCAAATTCTACTCATTCATGCTAAGTTTGTGTTACTTACTGTAACTCTCCTTACATGTACACAGACAAGATTTATTGTCAGATGAAGTAAACGTGTCAGCTCTTTTTTTTTTCAGTTGAATTTTTCCCTGAAATCTTCTCAAGACAATGGTCCATGGTCAGGTTGATCTACTTGCATTGAAGTGCTCTTGTCATTCCTAAAAAAATGTCATGGGTTAAGACATTCTTTTTTATTAGAACCTTTGCAGAAGACCTTGGACCTCAGTGAGAGTGTGAAGAACAGCATCATTACAGCAGAAGGGGTGTTGCTGCTGCTGTGTGTTTTGGTCCCTGGCACTATGCTGCTCTGTAAGGTCAGATATGTTGATTTAATGTTTTTTTCAACATATTAAATGTTGATATTAAATCTGCACCACACACAACAGTAAACAAACAAATAAAGTGATTCCATGAAGATCAAAGGTGTGCAACTTTTTTTTTCTCTAGTCAAAGACGTTGAATGAACTGAACAAGAAGAAAGGACGGGAGGAGGAGAATATCTATGAGGTATGTCCATTTCCACTACATTTTCTTTTTCTTATTACTGATAATAAGGAAGGAACTCCCGCACACTATCGTTACTTGCAATTTAAAATGAATGTTTATTCAAACACAACGTTTCGGTCACACGACCTTCATCAGGGACCGAAACGTTGTGTGTGAATAAACATTCATTTTAAATTGCAAGTAACGATAGTGTGCGGGAGTTCCTTATCTGTGAAAACGACTAACTTGTTTGGTCCTTTTATCCGACGCACCTATCACCTGCAGGTGTGCAATGGAGTTTGTTCACTTTTTCTTATTACTAACGCTGCTTATTTATGAAATTATTCACATATCCATCCATAGGGTCTAAACCTGGATGACTGCAACTCAGCTTACCATCAAATTCAACGCTCCAATCAGCAAGGCCCTTATCAGGATGTGGCCATCTGTGGAGAAGACATTCAGTTAGAGAAGCCCTAGCTGGATCTGAAGAAACAGGGAAAGGGACCAAATGGTCCATTTGAATAGACGGAAGGGTGAACTCTTTGTATTATTTGTGATTAATTGCTAATTGGTAAATTCAGCATTTCATGAGGCTGCTGTCAATATGTCTTTGCATCATCTAATAGTTTGAAGATAAGCTTGTTTGTGTCTTTCAGTGGTAAATCAAACATATCTGCTAATGATTTGAATAAATTGTATAAAACATTGTGTTGCTTTGTGTGGATTTTGTTATAGGCCTATGTCACATTTTAAGGGTATCCTAATGAAGATTAATATAATAATAATAATATAGAAAAATAAATGATTATTATTAAAAAAGAACGACTCCACTGGATACTCAAAGTGACAATTAAATAGTAATACAGTAGACTAACTGGGAGAGAGAAACCTATGTTTATTTATTAATTTACTTATTTATTTTATTTTGACGTGACACATGTTGTAGGAACGTCACTTGTCTAAAAATGGGCAGCATGATGGGCGGTACTAGGAAGTAAGAACTATGTGATAGGTGCTTTGAGTATTCTCGGACGCGTTATTGGCTATAGATTTGAATGTGGGCGTGGCCGACTGTAAGGTATATCCAGACACAACAGAGGTGGGAGGTAATGATTTGTGTTTGAGGAAGATGGCGTCTTCAAAGAAGTCTGGGAGCGGTGTTCTTGAAAAAACAGTAAACAGGAGGCGCTCGTCAAAGCACAAAGAAGTTCCAATAGGTATATTCTCTTTTAATAAACATAACCGCTTTTAAGGGGGAGGGGGGAAGCTGTCGCTTGTAAATGACATCCGCGCTCCCTGTTAGATAGTTCCAGAAATGTCAAAAAGAAGATTAAAACCCGACGCTCGTTGTGTACAGTAATGAGTACTGGTATTTTCTTACTAATATGTAACCAGTCATTTTGAAATCTCTCAAGAGGCTGTAGCTCTAAACCAATAGGTTTTAATTACGTTTGAACCATGTTGTGTAACTTAATGGAATAGGCTAACGTTACATCGTCTACGCTAACTGTAAAACTGTAAGTTAGCTAGTGTAGTGTATGCATTGATGACATTTCCACGTAAATTGATTACATTGTAATAGATTGATGTTAACTGTGCTTCCACTGTTCTTAGACAGGAGAGAATATACGTTTGAATGACCTGTGAGTATTTGCCTTAACTTTGCTGTAGTAGTTCATCAGGATATGCTTGACTCATGAATGGTCGAGACTGTGGATTTAAGCTTATAATGACAGTGTAGCCTATATATTAAGTGTAGCCTAGATGTTCTTAAACATTTTCACTTTAAGATTGTTGTGAAGATATGGTTTGACCTCAATTAAGGGCAACTGTTTTGACTGTTTTCAAAAAACACTGTGGGCTTTCAAATAACCTTTTATTTACCACTCTATTATTGAAATGGTGCAAGGAGTTCCCATGTTCTCTGTGTTGCAACGGCAGAGCGTCATTGGCTGTTTGGTTTCAGGTTTTCACTATAGACCCTGTCTTGCCCAGAGGATCAGTGTGAGGATTTGCCATCTAAACACAGACACTCAGCCATTTTAACTGAGTTCTCAGATGTGCAGAAGAACAGTGAAAATATTTGTAGTCTTGTACATTTGTAGTCTTGTACATTCATATATCACATATCAGGCTGTTCACATTATGTATGTTCGGTATAAGTAAGTTGTGTCACTGGCTGTTGTCGTGTTTGGACCAGAGTGAGAGGAAACTCTTCACTGATGTCAGGGCCAGCATGCATTGTTTTCTTTTCCTGTTGAGATGATTTACTAAATAATCTGGGACAAAGGTCAGCTTCGATCCTTCCATTATTTCTTACGGCTAGCCAAATGAAAATGAATAAAGGATGTGGTTCTTGGTGCATGTAGAATAAAAAGAGAAAGTTCAGATATGGTCAGTTTACTTTGGTTCTTGTCTTAATGTCCCTACCACAAATATTCTTAGTAGAAATGTGTGGTCCTCGACCCATGAGGATGGGAAATGCAAGTTAACTGTGAGAGCCTTTTGTAGCTTATGGTAAAAATAAGCTTACTTGTACCATAAAAAAAATCAGAAAAATTCAGATTTGCAAGAAACTAATCTCCACTAATGTACTTTTATAACTAAAATAGTGCAGACATTTACATGAGCGATGTGACACAAATTTGTTGTATGTGTATTGTAGCCTATATTTTAAACAATAATTAGGTAAATTTCTAATTGTCTACTATTTATATCAAAAGTATGCTTCTATTTTTATGTGTAGCATTTAAATGTACTTCTCATTTCTATCTAGGTCAGACATTATTCAACAGATAGAGAACGTCATCCCAAGCTATTTTCTGTGGAGCTTTTTTCTTTTAATTCCAACAAACCGTTTTCCCTTTGAAATTGTATAAAGAATTAATTTCCCCTTAAGAATTGATATCTATAAGATTGGGTCTTTAACATACTCCCTTGTGTTATTGCTGCCATGCCATTAAACTTGGTGTATTGAAATGCATTCATGAGTTCATTAGACAGTTAATATATTCTAAGGAATAATATTCCATATTGTTTATTCAGTTTTTGAGTTTGCTAGGAAAAATGTAATTGATAGGGATGCATGATGTAGCAGTATCATATTAGAAAATTTTTAATTTTACATTTTGATTTCCTTTGCTTTTATCTTACAATAACAGATACTAACTTTAAAAACACAAATTATTTTTTTTAATAACTCAGTCCAATGAATTTTTGGTATGAATCCAGTTTTCTTCAGTTAAAATGCATTGTGATGGCTAAATTCACTTGTAGCATTGATGTCTTTAAATTTAATTTTAGTGTTTTATTATTTATTATTTTTATAACATAAAAATAGTTTGCTGTTTCGGCTAATAGTTATCTGTATTGGTATCAGCGAGTTATTAAATGTAGGCTAATCTAATTAAACTTAAAATCTAATTAAATGCCAACATTGTTTACTGTGTAGCTTTTTAGTTGGTCAGAAATACTTTTTAGTAATTAATGTTTTATTCAGTGACGCATGCATATTACTGTTTCGCCATATGATGTAATACAACTATTGCCAAATCACATAATTGAAGTCGGTATGTAACCCACAACTTTTGTTGTAGCAATGACCAAAAAAAAACACAAAAGAACATTTTCAGAGGTCATTGTTTGTGTCAGATTTGGATCGTCCAGACAGTTAGGGTGAAGGTCACTGGCCAGTGTCCACCCCCTGCTGATACAACCAATAGATACAAAGGTTGTGTGTGTGTGTGTGTGTGTGTGTGTGTGTGTGTGTGTAGAGAGAGAGAGAGAGAGAGAGAGAGAGAGAGAGAGAGAGAGAGAGAGAGGAGAGAGAGAGAGAGAGAGAGAGAGAGAGAGAGAGAGAGAGAGAGAGAGAGAGAGAGAGAGAGAGAGAGAGAGAGAGAGAGAGATGAGAGAGAGAGAGATGAGAGAGAGAGAGAGAGAGAGAGAGAGAGAGAGAGAGAGAGAGAGAGAGAGAGAGAGAGAGAGAGAGAGAGAGAGAGAGAGAGAGAGGCTGCAAAGGTAGCAAATAGGGATGTGCACGACGACTAATTTAATTAACGTTACAGAAATTTTGCAACCGACTAGTCTAACTGTTTCTTACCACTGCAACCACTTGAGTGTCCCTAGAGAGAGAGAGAGAGAGAGAGAGAGAGAGAGAGAGAAATTTGTTTTCATTGTACATTGGGTGAAAAGCACCATAACAGGGACAGTTGGTATGGGAGAAAATAACAAAGCTGTTCTCTCCAGGGAATGAGAGGAATGAGAATAAAGGAAGGAGGAGTTTGCAGAAAAGAAGAGGGGATGAAATAGAAAGTGGACAGAATGTCATGTCGTGATCTGAGGGGACGAACAGGTGGCAGGGGAGGGCGATTGCATGCGTCCAATCGAAACACTCTATCTTACTGTCTTCCCCTTTTGTTTACCTCCCCCTTCCCATGTCTCTATTTTCCTGGCTCCATGGCTGTGCTGGTATTGAGGGGACAGGACGCACAAGGACTCCAGCATGAGTTCAGAAGAGGGTAACGTTCAGATTCTCCAGGGATAAGTCCCTGTGTGTTTTTTGTGTGTGTGTTTTTTTAGGTTGCAGATTCTCACACTTAAGCTCCGCTTTGCTCCCTTGTATCCCTTACAAGTGTCTTGTTGCTCCTCAGCTGTGAGTTGTGTTGTATGCTTTATGGGTAAATTGTATTCATGTATTTTAGCGCAGTGTCACTTAAAAAGCAGGTGTCCTTGCAGTAGTTTGGCATATAGCTTGCTAGGCCAGGCTTTGGCTGTATATGTTTGGATGAATTGAGAAGTACTCTCATTCTGAGTAGACACCATTGGCTAGGCTTTGTTTTTCTGGATGCAGCTGTTTTCTTTCTTTGTGCTTTAATTTATTGATCCATTGGGATTGTGGTACTAATTGGAATGAATAGTGTTGATTGATAAATGTTCTACTTACCATCTTCTGTCCAACAACAGAATTTAGCCAACAGTAGCAAATAGGGATGTGCACGACGACTAATTTAATTAACGTTACAGAAATTTTGCAACCGACTAGTCTAACTGTTTCTTACCACTGCAACCACTTGAGTGTCCCTAGTAGCAAATATACTCAATTTTCAGATATCTGCAGCCATTACAGGATTTTTCAAAAGAAATTAATACTTTATTCAGCTAGGATGTGTTTCATTGATCAGAAGTGCATTTATGATGTTACAAAAGATTTATATGTCAAATAAATGCAGTTCTTTCATCAGAGAATCGTGAAAAAAAAAATGTATCAGGTTTCCATAAAAATAATAAGCAGCACAACTGTTTCAACATTGATAATAATAAATGTTTCTTGAAGCAAATCAGCATATTAGAATGATTTCTAAAGGATCATGTGACACTGAAGACTGGAGTAATAATGCTGAAAATTAGACTACTTTCAAAAACATCTTACTGACCCCAAACTTTTCAATTAAAGTTATGTTATTAGTCTTAATGGAGTGACATGTATTTATAGCTTTGTAGAATGAAACTACTACATTTTCACAGTGTCACTCTTTACCTTAAGCAATTTTTAATAAAACAGTGTGGTGGCAGTTACAAGCTAACAACGAAATTATATGAGGGCAACACACCCCATATTGCCCTTAGACTTCCATTGTTAGGGGATTTCTAATGACTGTTTTTGTTGTTTGTTTTACAAATTAGATCAATTTAAACTATTTACTGTTGCAATTGAGCTTAACTCATATATTAAACCTGCAACATTCCTCTAAAGTGAATAGAGTTTTTATAGATTTGTCAGCCTTTTTCCTTCATAAATGGGTCAAGAGCCAAACTGTAGAGTGTTTTCAGGTGTATGTGTGTGTGTTTTGCTGTGTTAAACCGGTTCTGGGAAGTCTTTCATTGAGTAAAGTGATTGGGTGGTAGGTTCTCTTGTTGCACATGTTTCCATAATGAAAAATGTAGATAATCTATGGGCATGAGGATCATTTAGTCAGTGCTCTACTAGCTTCTGAACTGAACCCCAATCACAGCTGTGAAAGTCATTACTACATGAGCCAAACTAGTTTTACGATAGTTGTTTGATTATATCTCAATGGAAGCAGTTTGAGCAGTGACACAGTAACATGCTTGGTTTCCCATGCAGATTAGGACACTAATCTTTCAGGTCTGGATACAGCCTTTAGAATAAGGACAGGGTACAGAAATGGGAGAGAAGAGAGGACAATTCTTTTCAAGAGAGGAAGATGTATTGTTTGTTTTTGCCAATGAAGGGAAGATATCACTGCCAGTTTAGAGAGGCAACATGGGTAGTTTGTCAGTTGAAAAAGGGCGAGTTTGGAAAGTCAGAGAAGAGAATGACTGGACGTGTGATGGGTGGGGTTATCTGGGGTAAAGGGCAGAAAGGAAAGGGCCAGGGGCTGTTTAAACCCATATGTTCAGCAGATAAGAGGATATCTTGGGAATTTAGCTCTAAATAACACTGACATGTAATGCATAAGAAAAATATTGTCTAAACTCTTTTTGCGTTTACAAAGTAAGCACTTTGGTTTCAGACATCAAAGCCCAAATCATTTTTGCTGTTTGTAAAAAAAATCTTGCATCCACAATGTAAACTAATACAAACTTCTGTAAGTTTGCCCCTTAGTTGTGGAGCAATGCCCTATTTTGGATTATGTAAATGATTATGTATGATCTTTAATCTTTAAAAAAAAAAAAAAAAAAGATTGTGCTGGATGTATTTGCTTGCCATTTGTGGTTTTTTAATTAAATCATAAAAAGCTGAAGGTTTGTTTATGGTTCTGCTATTCCTGGCAATGCCTTGTGAAGTTGCTTGTGATTCTCTCGGTTGTCAGGTCGCTGAGCGCAACAGATTGACCTAGTCACCTGTATTGACCTAGTCACCTGTATTGACCTAGTCACCTGTATTGTCTCTGTATCTGGCATGTCAATCTTGATCAGATGTGCATGAGTGTAAACAGTGGCTGGCTGATGGCCCTCCGTCACTGGTTACTTGGTATTATGTCATGTGATCTTGTCCACAGCTTCTGTCTCCTGTAGCTTGCTGTTCTTACTGTTTCTTATTTTCCTTTTGAGAAAACAAGCAACAGTAGTTTTCTTAGTTGTCAGTATCTTGTAATATGTTTGAAATAGTGTCTTTTTGAATATGTTTGTATTGTATGTGTGATAGTGGTAGGACCTATAAGCTAAGTATGTTTTCATAGACACTAGTCCGTGAGATTATTTTTAATAACATTATTCTGTCTTATTTAACAGTAAAAACATTTGAAAGCTGCAGTCCGTAGCTTTTTTGGGTTAAAAATTAAATTATCCAAAATACATATTTGAGAAAATACATAACCAGCCAGTGTCAAAACTCTCTGCTTGCCTTAGCTCGATTCAAAGCGGTAAGCTTGTAATAATGTTTTTAATTCCAGTGGTACTGGTGGATTTCAGCGGGAGATTCGAGCATGTCTTTGCGTCATTATGTCACATCTGTACACATAAAGAAGGAGTCTCGGCTAGTATAGGCTATATTGCGTGTGAGGATGTTGGAGGTGAAGATTTATAGCCTTTTCTCACAAGCACTTGATATAATTAAACTTATCAATTTAATGGCGGATCCAGAAAGGTTCAAACGACAATCACCAGTGACAACTAGAGATTCACCCGCTGTAGAATGCAAAAGACTTCGTTCGGAACTTCGGAGTGGCTACAGAAAAAAAGAGACTGCAAAAAAAGGATACATATCGGAAGGACATTACATGTAGTCACGCAATGCTGACGTTGTTAACATTAAACAATTTCAGAACAAAGTATAATTTGTACGGTTTTACGTGATATGATAAGCGATTGTTAGATTTAATCAGCGGATTTACCGCAATGTCAGAACCAGAACAAAAGTGGATGTTACTTACTTGTTCAGATGACATTTTCTGGTGAAAATTATTATGTTGGTCATACTTCCAAAAAGAATAATCTGTAATTCTGAATGCCAGTATCCTCATCGGCGCGGTGACTGACAGCCGCACATTCTCCTCAAAACATTGGATTCATCCGCGCAGTGTCGTGCCGAGGCACAACTCATGTAAATTGATAATTCTGCGAATAACTGCAATTTCCGATTTCGAACAGAGATGGCGACAAAGAGGAAAAACTGCGGACTGCAGCTTTAACATCCTAAAACAATAAATGTACTTAAAAATTGCTTAAATTTGTTTTTGCTTTATTCCTATTACAATTTTTTTTTAAAGAAAAAATCTACAGTAAAAAATGTATTGATGTTTATACTTTAAGCTTTTAAACGGCAGTGTATTTTCTTTTTTAAGAAAAAATCTACAGTAAAAAATGTATTGATGTTTATACTTAAAAAAGAAAATACACTGCCGTTCAAAGCTTAGAGTTGGTACATTTTATAATGTTTTTGATGCTCACCATGGCTGCATTTATTTGATAAAAAATACTGTAAAACAGTGATATTGTGAAATATTATTACACTTTAAAAATAATCTTTTCTTTTTGAATATATTTTAAAATGTAATGTATTCCTTTGATGGCAAAGCTTAATTTTAAGCAGCCATTACTCCATTCGTCAGTGTCACTTGATCATTTTATCATTATCAATATTGAAAACAGTTTCTCAGGATTCTTTAATAAATAGAAAGTTTAAAAGAACAGCATTTCTTTGAAATTGATTTTTTTGTTGCAATGTTTATTGCTTTACCAATGCAAATTAATTAATGTTCAATACAATACAACTTTTGTCAACCATTTCTCTTTCACCACACCAGCAATAAAAAACAAAAACACACACTATACAACACAAATGTTAAAACCACCTACCACAATACACCAATACAATGAAAACAAATCTCTCTCTCTCTCTCTCTCTCTCACACTCAACTACACTCACACTCACACTCACACTCACACTCACACTCACACTCACACTCACACTCACACTCACACACACCACACACACACACACACAACACACACAACAACAACCATCTCAGGCCATTTAACCTTATCATTTTGCTGAATAAAATGGAGATTTGGTTCCTTGTCACTGTCAAGCTTTTGGCTTGCTTAGTTGAGCACACTTAATATTCAACAATATTATTGATCTGCCTGTATTGATACCATTATTTGAGAACTGAACTGAGCTGGAAGATGACAACACTGTTTTCTCCAGAGTGGATTTATAGATAAATGAACTAAATGAATAACTTTTTTACAACAGAAATGAACCATCACTGAACTTACTTAAGCTGGACTATGACACTGGACTATTTCTTCTAGATCTGTTGTACAGACAAAAAAAAAACTTTGTTGCATTATTTTCCTGTTATCACTGTAAAGCTGCTTTTAAAAAAATTAGAAAACAATCTGTAATGTAAAAAGCGCTATCTAAATAAAGGTTAAAAAAAAAGAAGAATAAAAGTGTTAATTTCTTTAAAAAAATAAATCTTACGGATCCCAAACTTTGAACAATAGTGTGCTCTAGTCTAGAATATGCTCATAATATATTATGCAATTTCGTTTCTTTCGCACATTTATTCTTGTTTTAAGGATGTTTGGATCTTGTACTGGAAACATGAAAAAGTACTGATGAAGAAAATGCTTTTCTGAAGTGAAGTACTTTGGCTGAGTCATTTCCAGTAGATTGATCTATAAAATGCTTATAGCGCTTTTTATAACCACAGTCTACACAAATGCTCGGCTTTTGTCCTGAGCTTAATCACTCTTTATTGGCTTTAAAAGTATTTCAGTGTGTGTGCCAATTTGAAGTAATTCTTGTGTCCTCAACGCATCCGATCCCCTTTAGTGATGGATACCAAGGCAGTTTTCACTGCCTTGTTTGACGTGTGTGAAGAAAATGCCGCCTTTTTCTCTGGGGCCACAAAGTGCCAAGCTGGGGATGCAGCTCAGCGCCTGGTGGACGCCATGACCACCATCAGGAACATGCCGGAGCCTGGAGCCTGTCATCTCTGGATTCGCTGCCATCTACCACCATTTTGACTTTGACCCTCATATCCCCGCCAATGGATATCGCTCCCTTGTTAAGGTGCATTTCTGACTGTGTGTTTAATGATTTTAATGAGTTAGCTTGAGGGCAAGAGAAGTCTTTCCTACCTGCCTCTTTGTTCTCCCTGCTGTAAATAGCTAGCCTACTTCAAGTGCATTATTTTTAGCAGTTAGTCATCACAGTAACTGTTTACATATTCTACTTTTGTTAAACTCATTTCTGCCGAAGGCATGTTTCCTTAGTCCTTCCATGCTTGTCTTTTCTATGACTTTTTCTCTCAATAAGCAGGTTTACATTGCACCTCCTTTCTCCTGCATGATGCATTTGCGAATTTTTCCTATCATACACCTCAGTTCAGCTAAATCTGTCATCCTCTTCCTCAGGTGGTGCGCTGTTGCCTCCTCCACATCATCCACAAAGGGCGCTATATCACATCCAACAGGCGAAGCATCTTTTTCCGTGCCAGTCACAATGCGGCAGAGATGGAAGCATACTGTAGTGCTCTGTGTCAGCTCAGGGCGCTGCTCTATCTAGCTCAGAGACTGCTTCATGACAACAGCCACGGCAACCTCTTCTTCCAGGAGGAAAGTGGCCTCAGTCAGAGCTTCCTGAGAGAGTACGCCTCCATGCATAAGGGCTGCTTCTATGGCCGCTGTGTTGGATTTCAGGTGTGTTTGTTTAAGAGCGCATGAGCTTGTGACTCACAGGATTCCATTGACTAATGATTATCACGTCTGTACTGTAAGGTTGGAATCTCAATTTCAACAAAACCATTGTTGCTAAATAGATTCAAAAGGTTTAATGCAAGAACTAGGACCAAAACTCTATTTAAAGATAATTAAGACAGGTTTTCCCATACATGTTTTTATAATATAACAACAAAGTCATAAACAGCAATATTTTCATGTTATACATTTTGCATTTTAATGTTTTCATATTTACACACACACACACACATATATATATATATATATATATATATATATATGTATATATATATATGTGTGTGTGTGTGTAAATATGAAAACATTAAAATGCAAAATGTATGTATATATATATATATATATATATATATATATATATATATATATATATACATACATGCATGCATACATGCATACACAAAAGTAAGTACACCCCTCACATTTCAGCAAACATTTTAGTATATCTTCTCAAGGGACAATACTATAGAAATGAAACTTGGATATATTTTAGAGTAGTTAATGTGTTGCTTGTATAGCAGTATATATTTACTGTCCTCTGAAAATAACATGTTGATTCTCCACCTTCCGTCTGGAGACATACTTGGCCAATCCATCACCTTCAGCTTCCTCAGCAAGGCAGTTGTCATCTTGGCGGTGTGTTTCAGAAGAGGCTTCCTTCTGGGACGACGGCCATGCAAACCGATTTGTTGCAGTGTGTGGTGTATGGTCTGAGCACTGACAAGCTGACCTTCCGCTTCTGCAACCTCTAAAGCAATGCTGGCAGCACTCGTGTGTCTGTTTTTTGAAGCCAGCTTCTGCACCTGACGCACAGCATGAGGACTCAACTTCTTTGATTGACCCTTGCGAGGCCTGTTACGCGTGGAACCCGTCTTAAAAAAACCTCTGTATGACCCTGGCCTGTACTGTAACTCAGTTTCAGGGTGTTACCAATCTTCTTATAGCCTAGGCCATCTTTGCGGAGAGCAACAATTCTAATTCTCAAATCCTTAGAGAGCTCTTTGCCATGAGGTGCCGTGTTGAACATCCAGTGGTCAGTATAAGAGAATTGTACGCAAAGCACAAATTGTAACTACTCTAATACAAGATACACACATTTGTATGGTCCTGTCAAGCAGACAAAAACATGAACATGATGAATAAGACATGTGGCTTTGCATGGTTAAACGACGTACAGCTATTATCACTTAGGGTGCACTCACTTTTGTTGCCAGTTATTTTGACAATAATGGCTGTGTGTGGAGTTATTTTCAGAGGACAGTAAATATATACTGCTATACAAGCAGCACATTGACTACTCTAAAATATATCCAAGTTTCATTTCTATAGTATTGTCCCTTGAGAAGATATACTAAAATGTTTGCTGAAATGTGAGGGGTGTACTTACTTTTGTGAGATACTGTGTAAGTGTGTATATATATATATATATATATATATTTACAAAAAGGTTCGCTGACTTTCAAAAGTTTGGGTTCAGTAATTTTTTTTTCAGTAAATTTATACTTTTATTTAGCAAGGATGCGCTAGATTGGGCAACAGTGACAGTAAAGACATTTACAATGTCACAAAAGATTTCTATTTCAAATAAATGCTGTTTGAGGTTTCCTCAAAAATGTTAAGCAGCACCGCTATTTTCAACATTGATTATATTAAAGGGGTCATATAATGCCATTTTTGTACAAGCTAATATAATTCTTTGGGGTCTAAATTAAAAGTTTGTAATATACTTTAATTAAAAATTCTCATTAGTATTGTAAGAAAACACTTATTTTACCTGGTCAAAAACAGCTCTGTTTTCAGCACGCCGTTTCAGTGCATATGACTTTAAAGGTGCCCTAGAATGTTTTTTTTTATTATTTTATAATGTTTCCTGGGTTGCCCTTATAATGTTAGTATGTTTTTTAGATCAAAAATAATCATAATTTAGAAATAAATGGCATTTTTCCTAGCCTGCTTTTAGCCTCTGATTTGAACACTCTGTTTGAAGGGGCGTGTCTGCTGTGGGATTCAGTGTAACCGCGGCCACTGCTGTGATTGGCTGACATGCTTGCATATGAAATAGCTACGCATTACATGTGAAACTCTCTCGAATACTTTTACTACTGCTATTATACGTTTTTACTATAACAGCTATCGAGATTAACGAATCGTGAGATGTTTTTAAAGTATTTAGATCTATTCCCATCACATAAAATGTTGCCGTGATGAGCATTGAGCAGATGACAGTGTGTTGATCGCGAGAATGAAGATCTTATCATTGCAAAGCAGTTTCTGCACTCTCTCTAATGCTTTCACCAATGCAAACACGATGATGTAAATACAGTAAGAGCTTCGTTGTGCAGTAACGTGCGTCATTGAATTCATAACGAGTTTGGCAAGTGTCCAGATAAACTCGCGCTGTGTGGAAAGATTGTTCTTTGATCGCTTTCTGTATATAATTTGTTCACAATTTAAATACGATTATTTTCATCCTACTAAAAGAAACGATGTGAAGTTGATATTTTAGTCACTGGCTTGACTTACTGATGCATAAACAGTATTGAACGATTTTGAGAGAAAGATTACCTGTCTGAACTTGAACAATTACACATCAGAAAGTGTTGCTTGGTAGCTCGATCCGAGGCCAGCTCTGTATTGGCCCAAGTTGAGGAAACAGTTGGTGAAATGTTTGGAAATTTCCAGAGAAAATAAAATTAACCCATTGTTTCTTCAGAGGCTCAGATGAAGGAACTAAAAAATACTTTTGTGTTCATGTGTACATCCAAACACTGAGCAACTGCCATGCTTCGGCTGCGCAGTTCCGCCTGGCATTGAGGGCTGGCATATGCAAATATTTGGAGGCGTACATATTAATGATCCCGACTGTTGCGTCACAGTCGGGTATATGTGGAGATTCGCCTGTTTTTCAGGGGTGTTTTTCAAAAACGAGATTTAACTTAGAAGGAGAAAACAATGGTGTTTGAGACTCCCTGTATGTCATGTCCATGTACTGAACTCTTGTTATTTAACTATGCTAACATAAATTCAATTTCACATTCTAGGGCACCTTTAAATGATAATGAGTTTTGCTCACCCCGCCTCTCTGTTCTGCGCATACACCGTTTGTAACACAATAACCATAACGCGTTGTTCAGTATAAACGTGGGATTATGAATTATATTGAGAACGTTGTACATAGAAAACATGCTGTAATGTACCCTGAGTGTAAACCGACGCATTCATCGTGAAGCGTGCAGCTAGCGATTTGCAAAGATTAATCTAAATATTAATATAAAGATTAATAAAACGTTACACTCACTTTAGTTCTTCTGAAGGTTCAGCAGGAACACGAATAGGTTCCGATCCTTTATTCAGGTCCAGCTTCTTAGCAAAACCAGCTTTATACTGACCCTCCTTTATAAAGCAGTCCACTGAGAAATGATTCGCGCAAACATGAGAGCATTGACGTTGCTCGTGGGGAATATTCCCTTCGAAAACAGAACTCAGCCACTGCGTCTTCAGCGGTTCGGATTTAGGAACATTAAAATGACTGCTGTGTTATTGCACCCAAGAACAGAACACCACAATCGCTTAGACGGCATTCTGCTCATAGACAGTGCTCCAGCATATCAATAATGACCGCGCCGATCCGCGCGGACTATGATTGACAGGACGAGCGAGGGCGGGTCTGTGTTGAATCGCTGCTGTCAATCAACAATCGCGGGAGGGGCGTCCGACCGTGTGACGTCACACGGTCGAACGGCTTGATTTGAGGCAGGGGAAAACAAATAAGGAGATTAAAACAAAAACACTGGATGGATTTTTATCATTATATGATGGTTCTGTACAGGCACTGCCAACACACATTTCAGTACAATCAACTTGTAAAAGTGCATGTACCATTATATGACCCCTTTAAGAAATGTTTCTTGAGCACCAAATCAGCATATTAGAGGGATTTCTGAAGGATCATATGACACAAAATTGTAATAATATTTCACAATATTACCATTTTTGTGTATTTCAGCTTTGGTCTATCAAGTATTTTTAAAATATTTTTCATGTTTTAAGATAAATATCTTGTTCTCTTTCCTTTTAGTTTACTCCTGCCATCCGTCCATGCCTGCAGTCAATTGCTATTAGCCTGGTTGCTTTTGGGGACAACTACAAGAAGCATCAGTCGGGGATAGGTCAGTAGAGCTGTTACATTCAGCCTGGTCTGATAAACCTTCGCAGTTATGTGCCTCCTGATTCATGAGAACAGGTCACTATTTCACACTACACTACTCTTTGCTAGAGTCTGCACAGCAGGTTTCCCTCTTGTGTTAATTTAGGACACAAAAGTGCAGTTGTATACACTGACCTGCAGAGGCATTCTAATATTGTTTCTTGTGCTGAATGCTGCACTCTAGTGGAGGCAGGAGATATTGCACCATATGGTGAGTAGTTCTCGCAGAGGGTGGTATGGATGAGATACATTTCTGTCCTTCCCAAACCTGTCATCTATTCTGCTAGTATATTACCTTTTTCCTCTTTAGAGATGATTAGCGGCTGTGCCTACTAGGGGTGGGAATCTTTACGCACCTCCCTATCTGATTCTGGGAATCACAATCTGATTTCAAAACAATTTGTGATCTACATTTTTTTCTTATTAATGAGTTTACCGACTTATTGAATATCAAATTTATTTGTGAATGTTTATTAAATTACTTATATATTATAAGTACTTGTACATTTTGAGATGCAAGTGTGTTGTGTTTAACCACTTACAAGGAGTCTTTCACATGAGCATTTAAAAGCAGCTGTCTATTGGTAAATGGGTTTTGTGTATCAAATATATATATATATGGCATTCTAGACAGCATAAATGATGCTTTCGTAGAGCATTTGGAAGAGAAAACCCTGAAATGCATATACCTAAAAACGTTTCTCACAGCGCATATCCTGTGCAATCAAGCCCGCGATTGTCCTTGTATTTCGCTTCAACCCCTTGTATTTCGCTCATGAACCTTAATGCAAGTTTATAGACTTGTTCGATGGTTTTGTGTGTGATTGGTAGCAAGCAGAATATGGCTCTCTTGTGTAGGGGTTCTCAACTCTGGCCCTCGAGGTCTACTTTCCTGCAGAGTTTAGCTCCAACCTTGATCAAACTCACCTGTCTGGATCTTTCTAGTAATCCTAAGGAGCTTAGATGGCTTGTTCAGGTGTGGTTGATTCGGGTTGGAGCAAAACTCAGCAGGAAAGAGGATCTCGAGGGCCAGAGTTGAGAAGCCCTGCTCTAGCGCTCACAAGTGCCATCATAAATATGTAGGGGGAAAAACTAAACTCTGGATCGATTCTGAAGTTTGAGAAGAGAACCGTGATGCATCTGAGAATCTTATTTTTTTTTCTCCCACCCCTAGTTCCTATGCTGTGCTTCAACATGAGAGCAAGACTGGTTACAGATCAGTTGTTACTTTAAGTGTCTATTGATGTTTGTAAATATTAAACTAATTGCTCATGCATGTTTGTCAAGTTAAGATGATCGTGGTCACTATTATTTGTGTGTTTCTGTTTGTCGGAAAACGCAGTTTTATTTCTTCCCCCCCTCCTGTATTACTGTCCATGTAGGATGACCTGGTGTTATATGCTAGTTATGTAGTAGACAGGCATTCATCTAACTGTCTATTTGCCTGTGTTTCTCTCAGGTGTAGCAGCCAGTTCTTTCCTCACCTCTGGGAAGTATGCCATTGACCCTGAACTGAGAGGTCGGGAGTATGAACGCATCACTCAGAACCTGGATGTTCATTTTTGGAAGACATTCTGGAACGTTACAGAGACTGAACTTTTATCAGTTAGTATTAAACATTTGTGTGTTTCAGTTAGGGCATCACAATTAATTGAAAGAAAATTGGTTTGAGATTTTACCTTGTATTATTAAACCACAAAAAAAAAAAAATTGCTGCTTGAAATTAAAGAAATTATGCCTGAAGCATATTACCACTGTAATAATAAAATTGTAATCTTCAAAATAATAATGATAATTCAGTATTGCTATTACTAGTAATATATTAATTACATTACATTACATTACATTATATATTTGAATTGAGGTTAAAAAAAAGTGAATGCAAATTAACACTGGGGCCCCCCAGCTAAATGTGAAATAAAAAAAAATATATATACACAAAATCTTTCCAAACTTTCTACGTTTTAAACGCATTTAAAGGATACTGACAGCAGAGTGTGGGCAAAACATTTTAATCTTGATATCTTAGCTCTTTCAGTAGAAATATGAGATACCAATTGTTTATAAGGCAGTTCAAATTGCTTTGACAATATTTGTCAAATATTCCCTTGAGTTATAAAACTCCTTGCAGCAGTGTCTTTTTAATATACTCGAAAATCTTTTGCTACAGCTGATCAGATCTGATTATGACCAGTCCAAGTTCTCATATTGCAAAGTTCAATTCACATAGTAGAAAAAGCTTTCTCATCTCTCTCTCTCTCTCTCTCTCTCTCTCTCTCTCTCTCTCTCTCTCTCTCTCTCTCTCTCTCTCTCTCTCTCTCTCTCTCTCTCTCTCTCTCTCTCTCTCTCTCTCTCTCTCTCTCTCTCTCTCTCTCTCTCTCTCTCTCTCTCTCTCTCTCTCTCTCTCTCTCTCTCTCTCTCTCTCTCAAGGGTCTGATGTCTATAACGGCCACAGCCGTGAAAGTAAATCGAGCTCTTTCTGTGCCCCCTATGCCCTTTGACCTGCCATTGGTGGCGGATCCCACCCACACGGTGACCGTGTCTCCTCCAGCAGCTCATATCGGCCTGGGGCCTGTGCAGATGAGGTTGATCTCATATGAGCTGAGAGAAGGACAGGTACATACAGTTCATATTGATGTCATTGACAATTTTATTTAGTCTTGAATGATAATCATCTCAACTTTTTCATTTGAACCATAATTTGACTACTTTGTTCTTCAAAGAAAGTAAATTGTCCACTATACATGCTCTTCTCTTGTCAATAAATAAATAACTATGGACAGAAAGCAAGGAATGAATAATGAGGTGTGCTTAGCTAAATTAAGCGGTTAAGCTTTTATCCTTTTATCCTTTACTTAAAGCCCTATAATTCCTGATATACCTCTCTGTGTCATGGGAGGACTTGAATTGGTTGCAATGTAGATGAGTAAGATGTAATGGTGTTTAAAAAGCCTACTTGACTTTTCTTCACACCCTTTGAACTCCTATTGATCCAGCTGAGGCGTAAACGTGTTTAAGAACCATGCGTCTGTAGCGTTTAATTACACGTATCTTGTCTAAATGAGAGTTTTTGTCTGTGTGGGGCACAGAGCTTCAAAGAGATTCAAATGTTCCATAGGTTGCTCTTTATTGTTCTGGTGCTTATAGTCCATTTTATATTTTTATTTTCTATCACAGGACAGTGAGAAATTACTTACACTGTGTCGCTCAGAGGGGGGCCAGATATCTCTTTCTTTGGGCTTAAAGCCGAAGCGCCATCCCCCTTCCCCATGGCTGGTGTTGCACTTCCACGGAGGAGGCTTTGTGGCTCAGACTTCCAAATCACATGAGGTATCTCTTCGCCTCTTCTGTCCTTACACATCCTATATGCCCCCTTTTTCATCCTACCTTAAATCATGCAGACCTGTTACTTTTAAGTCATCAGGCATACGATTTACACCTGAAAATCATATAGACTTACTTTAAATCTAGGAAGCAGAATATCATAGAGCCTTGGGGTGGGAATAAACAATGAAATAAACATAACCCATTGCTATATTTCTTATTAGATTTAAAATAAATAAGTACATTGGACAGTCTCAGTTTTGATGTCATTTCCACCACAACAATTTCCCCCTAATAATTTTTATTTTTAAAAGAACTTTATTTTTGTTTACTAATGTAACAACAATGTTTTGATATGAAAAATGAGACCAGTGATGTGTGAAGAAAGTAATTTCAAGCTGTAATTTTGTTAAATTATATTTAGGATTGATTTTTTTATATATATATATTTAGGATACATAAAATGTTAGCTGTGAAATTAACAGTAGCAAAATAAAAGTGTTTAAAAGTGTAAAAAGGTTTTATTTAAAGTGCCATTTCCAACACAGAATGTGATTAAACAAAATGTCACTTAAGATGTGGTGGAAATGACACTGTGGTGAGAATTTTCAATTTTCCTGTGATTCATGTACTTCCACTGTTGGACATTGTTAGTGGACAAATTAAATTGTTTTTAAGAAAGGTTATTTTTACAGATGTGCCCATAGTTAAATAAATACCAAGATGCTACAGTCTACAGAGCATATTTTACTGTTAGATTTATCCTGAGTGAATAAAGTTGTTCATGGCATATTTATTTGAATTTTGAATACTTTATTATCTTTAGACATTGACTGTAGTCACCCAGGATTCCACTTCTGTGTCTGATTATTCATTTAGTGGTTTTAATAGTGCCTCTTCCTTTATTCAGAGCAGCTTCTTGGCTGCTCAGTATAACTTAGAATATTGGTCATTTGCATTTGATTGTGTCCTGTGTCTCATGCAAAGTATAAGACTTCTGCTCTGTTAAAGTATCATATTATCACTGCACTCATGCAAAATTCACACAAATAACTCACCAGCGGCAGCCTGCATTCTTGACACATTGCATTAGCTGCTTGAACGAGCTCCACTCAACAATGGACACGTTGATATGAAATGTAACTGGCAGTCAGAGCAACATGTTGTGACGCCTGTCAGCACGCATCATTCCTTTAAACTACTAAACAAAACTTAGAGTGAGAACAAGGAAAAAGACTGAAGTATCTGAGAAGAAATATGCTCATTCCCTAAGTGTTTTCTCTAAATGCTTGGTGAGGCATTGATATTCAGGGTGACAGAAGCTACTTGAAATGAACATTTAGTGATGAGTACCATAATTCAGGCTCTTTTCAGCAGTTGTCACACTGAAACCACTTTCTTGAAGCTGGAAACTACAGGAGGTCAGGATTCAGAGAGGAATTAGAAGTGTGAGCTGGGTAAGCAGTTTAGGATTTAGAACTACTTAATTGAGACAAAAGTGAAATAAAGACATAATATAAATAGTCATATGTACTAGATATCAGGATAAAACATACTTCACGTTCATTAATAATGTACGCTACTATTACAATTTGAACATACTACATCTGACATGTTGGCAATGACATTATCATCAATTACAGCCGTGACACTGTTCCCTGCTATATATATGAATATGACAACGCACCCCATGTGGCCTCATGGGATAATTGTGTCCATTGGATACACACTTTCAAATCTTGGTGGAAAAGTAGGTAATCTGGGTATTTTTACACACTGTGTGCCTTAGTCAGGAGGCCAAAACTGATATTAAAACTTGCCGGACACTTTTTGGTACAAACATACAACCTATCCAGTATTTATATTTAACCCCTCAACATGTGTTATAGCCAGGTTGTCAGCTTAGAAAATGTTTGTTTTTCCATTTTAACACTATATTCTTAGAAATGGTAAAAGCGGATTTTATTTTTTACCAAAGTGCTTTCTATTTTCTTCCATGTTACCTACTGTAATGTTGGGCAAATGTGCAATATAATCCAATTTATGTGCAAGCATAATCATTAAAAAATAATAATCAATAAATACCACAAGAGTATCACACCACACCACAAGGGGCTCTGTTGTGTCAGCACAGCTGTGATTTGGCATGAGGCAGCAGATCCAGAGAAGATGATCACAGCAGGTGTCAACAGTCTGAACAAAACTTTATTAAGGAGTGAATCACACAATCACACAACAGATTAACTTGGTCTATTTGTCTACACAAACATTTACGTCAAACAAAACTGGAAAGGTTGCTGGAGGATTGGTAGGCATCACTCGAAATGAGACGGCTAGAAACCATTGGTCCATCACCTACAATGAACGTGCATCTTTAGCACAGGACACTAGATCCCTGTTTGGACTGACACATGATGGAGAAGATGATGAAGACAACCACAAAGACTGCCTTCCATCAAGACTCAGAAGGGATAATGATGTCATTTCAACTTGTAGACCAATTCCAGAGATACCATGTCTTCCAACTGGAGAATATGTATGAGTTGGTGTCTTTGACAACCAGTGATGTTGCTTCAGAAGATATACTGAATGACCTAACACATGCTGCAGAGTCTGGGAAACAAATGGTAACTGAGCTGGTGAAAAACACAATGAATCTATTGTGAGCACAATGAACACAAACTTCCATAACAGCCTCACTAAGAGAAAACTCAAAACATTCTCAAATCTTTACAGAACAGACAGCAAACTTGGAAAACTCAAATCCAAGTGTGTGAAGCCTGACATGGATATTTTCCATCACATCATTGTATCCATGGACAGTGGCAGAGAGGTTAACATAGATGGGCTCCTCCAAGAAGAACTGTGCGCAGTCCCCCTTTCACTTGCCACAACAGAGTCAGTGCTCAGACCTACTAGCAAAGCTGACTTAGCCACCATACTACAAGCTGGCGCAAAAGAGACGGGGCTAAGTCCATCTCTTGTGAGAACATGCACTATCATTGATGGGATGGCTTTAGTAAGAGCAATAGGAAAACCTCAAAATGCATCAACCTTTGGGGATTATGCTGACATTTTCATACAGAAAGTGACTGGCAATCTACATGGGAACATTACTAGAGTGGATCTAGTCTTTGATCAGTACCTACAGAACTCCATAAAGGGTGGAACAAGAGCAAAACGCAGCACCACGCAGCGAAAAATTCGCACCATTGTAAGTAATGATGTAAAGATGCCAGCTAACTGGAATAGTTTCATTGAAATGGACGAAAACAAGGCCAACCTGACACAATTCATTTCAATTGAACTTGAAAGGCATGTCATTCAGTATGGTCTTGAAATTGTAATAAGTGGGGGATTTGATGATGCTGAAAAAGTGGCAACAGCAGCTGGGATTGATGTTTCCCACCTACGGGCTGCACACGAAGAAGCAGATACCCGCATATTGCTACATGCTGTTGATGCCACAACCAAAGGGTATGAGAGGCTCATCATTCAGTGCAGAGACACAGATGTACTGTTGTTGCTTCTTGTGTTTGCACACCTGCTGAGCCCAGAAATTTGGATGAAAGCAGGAACTGCTTCATTAAAGTGCATGATATTATAATGTCAAATGAGATTCTTGATGGTCTGTTGGCATTTCATACCATCACTGGATGTGACACTACCAGTCACTTCACTGGAATAGGAAAAAGGACGGCGTGGAAAGTGTTCCAGCAGTGCCCTCATCTTCTCCACAACTTTGGTGAGGATGAAGTACCAAGTCCAGCTACTCTATCCTCAGCAGAACAGTTTGTCTGCAAACTGTATGATCCAAAAACGACCAGCACTTCAATCCATGATGTTCGCTGTGCCCTGTTTCGGAAAGTGAAAGCCAATGTGGATACTTTACCACCAACTCAGGATGCCTTGTCTCTGCACCTCATGAGGGCCCACTATCAAACAAAGGTTTGGAAACAGTCAGTTGTGACCCATCCACAGTTGCCCTCACCAACCAGTTGTTGTTGGCACATGAAGGATGGAATGCTTGTCCCCCAGCTTTTAACCAAATAACTTGTACAGGCCCGGTGCTTGGAGCTGACGATATGTGGATGCAAGGAAAGTGGAATTTTTTGCAGTGGGGCATGTGGGTGTGCCTGTGCAGCTTGGTGCAAGAATACTCAGGTACTTGCGTCATTATTATTGGGTTTTTGCCACATTATTTGCAACTATATTGTTTCAGATTATTTGGCATGATATTGTTTTTCCTGTTTTGTAGATTAGATTTATATTATGCCCTTGGATGCATGCATTGCATGTTTTGTATTGGGAAGGTATTCATGATCAAAACAGTATATTCTTCTTTTGTGTCCCTGACCAGGACTCAGATTGAGCACATGGACATGGTCCCTGCCTTCTGTTGGCTGCCTACCTGAGTGCCACTGCTTTGTTGGGGAAAAACATACCTTTGCCATATGACTATTACATAGTTATTACTACTAACTAGTTCCTAACCGCTAACCCTAAAAGAAGTGAGAGAGAAGTTATGTTAGGATGGAATTAATAACTATAGTGATATGTCAATTAAATATAATTTGTGTTACAACCTGGTACATTAATGAAGTCAAATAGCACCACAGACCACCATCTACAGTTCTACATATCCGCCTTGACATTAAAGTATTATAACTTGTGCAGCATTGCACTGTCTCTCCCTACAAGCTTTAAACTTGTCTTGACTCATTCTCATAGATAGGGATACTGGTTGATAGAGGTTTTGGGATACTATTGTTAGATTTTGCTGTATTTGGCCGAGCAGTGGTTTGGGTGGCTCGCCAATGTATTAGATTTCTCCAATACATGAAATAAGTAAGCTTGACCAGTTATTGTGGGGAGAAGAATTTATTGAAGGTTTGTAGTGTAGCAGTCCTTCAGCAGTGATGTTAGCATGTCGCCTTCAACAATCTTAACCCAAAGTTCTGTCTGTGAGACAGAACTTTATACATGATGGGCTACAAACAATAGAAAACTGTTAGGGCCTCCCACAGGAGATAGATCTACCCTGCAATCTACTCTGTGCAATGCTGTTTCTTTGTCATTCACATCAATCAGTTTCTGTGGGCCATACACCTTTACAGACACAGATAGAGTTGATTACATCTAAAGCATAGTTGATTAAATCTAAGGCAGAGTCACAATGTAAATTAATCTGATGACTGAAAATACAAAATCTATCACTATGTTATGTTTCCAAGCTGATATTCACTTTTAAAAATGGTTCTCTTTAGGCGGAGATATTTTTTTTTATGTTCTAGTTCTGTTGTCTCTTACACTGTACAATAAATGTTCATTCTGATGAGTGTTGGCATTCATTACCATTTTTATGTATATGGTCCTTGTGGTTGTGGAGATATTCAACATTTATTGTTGGCATGTCGTGTTGAGCAGGAAACCAATAAATTGGCCTGAAATTGCTTGTACAAGTCACAAAACAAATTCAGCTTGACAACCACCCTAATATCTTACCTATCGGTGTCTTCTAACTAAAAAATTGGGTGACAGCTTGTACATGTCCGCAAAAGTCTTAACGGAAGCCCTTTTCAGAATTGGCATATTATTATATTTAGATATGCTCCACATTTGATGTATTGCTTTTCACATACTATCTAGTAAGTATGGAGCCATATTCAGACTCTGGATAAGTGAGTATAGTATTAAGGATTTGGTGTATTTCTGAGTGAAATGAGAAAAACATGCAGGGCAGGATTGGTTGGATTGTAGAAAGTGGGAGTTGCAAACTAAATGGAGGCAGATCTGAATGCAAGTTTGCAATCAGTTGTGGAATGACAGTTTGCTGGAGGGAAGGGATTGAAAACTTATGGACCAGCACCAGAGTACACGTCGTCTAGGAAGGGATGTCTTTCTGGGGGAGAGCATGTTAATTTTTTTATTTAAAAAAATGTTGAATGAATTAAAGCAATCTGCACTGAAAAAATCAGTAATATTAATGCTGCAACATTCCATAAAAAATAAGAATTGTCAGTTTTGAATTTGACATTAAACCAAACAAATACCATATTCCCTGTAAAGTACGAAGAACAAAAGGAAGAAATAACTAAACCTGAAAATCCTGGTGTGAATTTTTCATCATAGTTTATGATTTCTAATCCCTAAAAATGTATTATTTTTCTAATTTCTAATTCTTTTTTTTTCTCTTTCTTTCCAGCCATATCTGAAGAGCTGGTCTCAAGACCTGAATGCCCCCGTCCTTTCAGTGGACTATTCTCTGGCCCCTGAGGCCCCGTTTCCTCGGGCTTTAGAGGAATGTTTCTATGCCTACTGCTGGGCGATCAAGAACCACAACCTGCTAGGTGAGCGGAATAGCAACTTCTTTATACTTCCTTATCACATGATATTGTGATTCATATTTGTTTCTTAAAGTTGTGATGAAACGGAAGTAGCGACAGATATTTTTTCCGTATTGTAACGTACATCTGAGTGTTGCGGCGCTTATCAAAAAAGGCGGGGACTTGGTTTTATCCATCGTTCGTTGATTGGATTTTGGGATGTCGGTGTTGCTTTGAAAAGTGGAGGCAGGTGAACGTGAGCTTGCAGGAGCGGGGTTTAAGCAAATTAAATGATTAGAGAAGTCCTGCACATGTCACCAGAGAGAAGTCTTTTGTTTTCACCAGAAGGTCTGTTTATGACATTTTGATTAAACATTAGAGGTCAAAACACCCTTTTTGGTCCCACTTTATTTTAAGTGGCTTTAAGTACTATGTACTTACATCAAAAAATAAGTACAATGTACTTATTGTGTTCATGTTGTATTGTAAAACACTTTTGCTGCTATTGAGGTGTGATACGGGTAAGGTTAGGGACAGGTGTGGTGGTATGGGTAGGTTAAACGGTGGGTTAAGGTGTAAGGTAAGGGTCAACTGTGTAATTACAAATGTAATTACATAAATTAATTACAGCTGTAATTACATGCTGGTATTTTTAAAAAATATTAGTACAATGTAAAAACATGTATGTACACTAAGTCCATTGTATCAAATTATTAATTCAATGTAAGTACATAGTACTTAAAGCCACTTAATATAAAGTGGGACCTTTTTTTTTTTTAAATAAAACGCACACGATGAAAATTGATGGGGTTAATTTTCATTGCATGCCCACTTTAAGCCTCCTTTAAGTACACAGTTTGTTGCTGGTTCATTTTCAGTGGAGTTGGCAGTCAACCTTTTTTGTCCCAAAAATCTTAATTACACCAGCACACGTCAAGCATGATTTTGTCTTTTCATGGTTGACATTGAACAATCTGAGGTGATTTTATTCATGACCAATAAAACGGCATTTAGCTTTTATGTGGTCCTTCAGCTTTTATGAGTGCAAAACCTGCACTCCAACCCACATACGAAAATGAGTTTCTTATAGAATGTCAGAAAACATTTTGCAGAGAAATATTTTATTTTAATCATTTAATTCTGTTAGTTTTATTACCACTTTAATGAAACTGAATACAACATTTATAATAATTGCATCATCCATCTACCAGACTGCTTTTTACATTTTTTTAAATGTTGAACTTTTTTTGACATTGTATGATTCACTTGATTAGTCCTTAATAAAACTGATTAAGCTACAAGACAAGTGAAATTGCCCGACTTGACGATCTGTTGTACTGTGATGGTGTCGAGATCCCTCAGGGAACAAAGATGCCTATTGAAACTCAGCTCACACTCGGTCTGATTACAGCAGCGTAAACATATTCATCATTCAGTGTTCTCTCACCTCCGCTATGTGTCTCAGGATCATGACGCAGGTCTTGCACTTCTAATAATTCTCTTTTGGTGTGAAAACCACACCACATCAGTGATAAAAATGTGACCTAATTTTAGAATTATGGAGTGTATTTATCTTCTTGATTCTCTAAATAATTTATTTGATTTGACCTATTGCTCGTTACTTCATTTTCTGCTTTGCGCCCCCTTTCTAATTATCCTCTGTGCCCCTCTCTTCCTCAGGTTGGACCGGTGAGCGTGTGTGTTTGGCCGGTGACAGCGCAGGAGGAAACCTGTGTGTGACTGTGTCGATGCGGGCCGCTGCTCACGGAGTGCGCATGCCGGATGGCATCGTCGCTGCTTACCCCGCTACACTGCTCACCGTGTACGCCTCGCCATCCCGCCTGCTCACCCTCATAGACCCTCTGTTACCCCTCAGTGTGCTCTCACGCTGCCTCAGTGCTTACGCAGGTCAGTCTGGAACCGTAATAGGTTTTTATGGCAAATAGTGCTGTGTTGTGACTCAGGTTATTAGCAAGCTGGAATGGTCAGGTCTGATGCATAATTTATCACTGGTAAAAATTTAGCATATTCACAATTTAGGGAGTGCAGACACCTTTAATGATGATGAATGATTTCAACAAGTAAAGTTAAGTGAAGCCACACACATCAGTAATTGATTAATAGGTTTGTATTTTGTTATAAATGATTTGATTAGTAGTGTTTTCAATCATAGTAATGATAAAGTTAAATCAATGGCCCAAGGCTTGTATTGTCTTTTCTCTGCAGGTTAAGTGTAGCAATATTTTCTTTCTGTTATAGTAGTACTGGATACTAGGGGTGTAAGGATACTCTCATGTCACGATTGGATACATATCACGATTCTTAACTCACGATACGATATTATTGCGATACTCCAAGACATATGGTAAAAGGTTAACAAAAAATGTACTGTTGATTAAAATGCTAAATTTGGAATTACATTGGGGGTGTTAATGAATAGGCTTGGACTTGGTGCTGGTAACCCAATGCACAGGACAATGGTGACACCAGAATAAAAATATTCATGATTCTGGAGCTGAAAATCGAATTATTTTAGATTAATATGCTTGCACTCTTTCACTGACTAGATATATTTAAAATAATGTAGTATATAAGTAATATTTAGACATAGTATAGTAATATAATAGACATTTGGCACTATCAGGACATATTCCCCAATTGCATTATACATTATATTATATATAGTAGTTTAATGTAGTACTGACACTAAAACTCTGAAAACGTAAAAATTTTCACGCACAGTCATTTTCATTTTGGGTGATTTTTACGTAATGCATATTGTCACTATCCACTATACATGTTGTTGTATTTTTGTATAGCGATAAATTGTTACACCCCTACTGGATATTTAGTCTACAGTATCTAAAATGCTTCTATTTTGATATTTTATTTTAACACTTATTTTTTACAGATTATAATATAAGAATGTCTTCGCATTAGCATTCGCCTTTTTGCTTTTATGAAAGCTCCACAAGATATTTGTTACATTTGCATTTTTGTTTTTGTTTATTTGTTTGTTTATATATTGATTGAATCCTTCACATTCGATTTTTCCATCCCTACTGTATGTTAATTGCTTTTTCCCCTTTGTCCTTCTCTGCTGTGTTTAGGCACAGATCCACAGGTGGAGAAGCAGGTGGAGAAGGTGAGCACTTTGAGCATGGTGAGGAGAGATACTGCCTTGCTGCTCCGAGACTTCAAACAGGGGGCCTCCAACTGGATCCATTCTCTGCTGGATAGAGGAAGTGCAGGTACATGTTTTACTCATTGTGCCTAGTGTGTCTAAAACGGTATTATCAATATGTCTTTTTGTGATAATAATCCCTACACACACGGATGATGATGCCTTTGTTATAGTGCAGCTAGCTAATTATTTGATCTGTTTTAATTAGGTTTAAATTAAGGCACACAAATCCCTCGTAGCACTCTGCTTTGCTTGATATAATTGGCTCCATGGTGATAATAGCCATTTGTTCAGAGCTATATGTGGTAGCTTCTGAACTCATTCTCCAGCTTGTGGTGCATGACCCACAGATGGTTTTGTGGAAAGTGGTCCTTCTGAGCATCTGCTGACTGAAGGCTTCTGAATGGAGCCCCTGATTCAGTCTGTATCTGTCATCTGTTGTTATAGCATACCTGGAAGGCTAATGTATGCATGGTCCCACAACCCAATTGTCTTTTGTGTCACAACTCCACAATTCCTTCCTCTTCTCTCTACAGCAGTATTATGTTTTACTAACTCGGCACCCCTTTGGCCTCAGTGATCTTCCCCGTGATATTGCAACAACTGTAGTTCAGCCCCACCTCCCCTGCTTCAGTTGGTTGCTACCAATTATTTTAAAATTGTTATAATTATATTAGAATCCTATACTCTTTTGTCTATGAGAATGAAAAATGCAACACTAAACACTAAAAGGATTTTTAAATGCTAAAGGTGAATTTTGGCATCACAATATTACAGAATGAAAAAATTTTTCTATTTGCTAAAGATTACATAAAACGGTGTTATTAAATATGTTGTTAGATGACAGCAAAGGTTCTCTAAATGAGCGAGCACAGTTAAATATGCAATATTGATGAATTAAAAAATCTCTAATATTTGGCAATAATAGATATGGTACTGATGTTTTGCACAAATGCTCACCTCTGACTGTACTGCATTTTTATTCTTATTTTTATTGTGGTTTTGATTGCATAGTCACCCAGCTGAACTGAAAAGCTAATAATAACCATCTCAAACAAAGCCCTTTGTAATGGTTTCACATACTGCGTTGTGCCAAATGCTCATCGGTTTTTAAGTCAATGGTTTAAATGGGCTACTATCAACCCTAGATCTCATATCATTTGAGTTCATTAGCTCTCACAGAGAGAGAAAGTGTAGGGCTGTGCAGGATGTCAATGCAGTGTGGCTAAAAGGCATCATTAGTGTGGTGTCACACACAACACAAAGCATTCTAATTGCCTCATGATGGCCATGAATTCATTATTCACTATACCAGCATAGCTGAGCATAGTTTTTCACAAGATCATGGCTATGGCCAATACAGCTGTGTTGTGGCTGGTCAGTTGTGTGTGTTAATGTCTGTTTGTATGGTAGTTTGAGGGCCTTAATATTTTCCTGAATGTCTGTTTAATGCCACACACATGCACTTCACTTCACAGTCACATGCCTTACCTCTCTCCCTGGCAACTGTTTCCTCGCCAACAGCCTCCACCAATGTCCAATGAGGGTCTTTGTAATCCCCCACCCCTGTTGCTTAAAATTCCTACTCTGCCCATTTGTACTCCTTTTACATATTTATTTACTTTCTCATTTTGCCTTTCTACATATTTGCATTGAGTAATGTTTCTGGAAGCATATCTGCTCTCTATAAGATTTCGAAGAGGAATTTCCTCTTTTCCAGCTTAGAAATTGCTCTCATCACAATTGCTCTCATCACGTGGAAAAAACCATCACATTTTGGGCCTGTTAATATCTAATATGTAGACATTATCTAACAAGATAATAATGGGAGTGCAACATCAGTCAATATATGTTACTTTAAAACAATCTCGTCACCAGGATGTCCTTGAAATGACATTCATTGTTTCTATTACCTCTAAAAACAACCTAAATATCTCTCCTTTTTTCTTTTCAGACTCTGTGAGAAAGAGCGTTTCAGAAGCGTCTCTGACCTCTCCTCACACAGACCCTCCAGTGTCTGCCAAGCCTTCTGAGTACTCCCATGGGAAAGGGTCTATGAAGAGCCAGACGTGCCAGGACTTGGGCACCCATGCTAACAGCAACGTGCAGAAAAATGTCAGCGAGACCACCAACCACCTTAGCTCCACTACAGCCAACCACAGCTCCATCCTTGACATCACGCTGACACCCGAGAGCAAGGTACAGTTCCTCATCTTGTGCTTTAAAACGGTTTATTAAAATGTCTTTTTTCACCGTGTTCCTAAAGCTCCCGTGGTGTCGAAGGTCTCTCTTTTACAGATTGCAACACTGAGTCATATTAATCATCCAGCTGATTTGCATTCTACTAGGGTGCCAATCTCTGCTACACAGCATCCATCAGGCTGTTTTTCATGGCTTTATGAGTATGTGAAACATGCCAATATTTGCGCTGATTAATTTGCACTAGAGTGAGAATGACCTAGCTTTCAACAATTAAACAGTGTCGCTTATATCATAGTCAAACATAAAATTTAAATAACAGACAGTCCACTCAGTGTTAGTAAGAATCTGGTATGTTTGCTGGAGTGTAGCACAGATGTTCGTACACGGTATCAGATTGCCATTGGTGGCTGAAAAACAGGAATTTGTTATGCCACAATTAGCATCAGAGTCAGAGCTGTGGCAGAACGCAGGCTGTCTAATGCACAAAATTAACTGGCCTCTTAACACTGCCTGTTTTGTAATTGCTTGCAGTAAATTGTTGATCTGGTTATTTTAGTCTGGTACACTGTGTGCAAATAAATCGCTTTGGTTTTTTTGATTCTGCACAATTCTTTCACTGTATTTCACTCTGTCCGGCTTAGTGGAGTGAGAAAGGGTAGTGCTGAGAATTAAGTACTTGTGCAACTCTGAGAAAGTGCAAAGGATTATGCTGCAATGATGTCACTTGGATTTTGCATGCCATTGTTCAAGCATGTGTTAAAATCCCCCAGAGAATCCCATGATACTTTGACGTCAATTGCTGGATTTGAAACGCTAATTTTTACTGCCTGGTTCAAATGAGTCATCTCAGCCTCTCCTAAACCCATTCCCAATTTCCATTCCTCTATGTTCCTTATACATTTCCACTACCCTATATAAGAAAAGATTTTAAAAATGTATCACAGTTTCAACAAATAAAAACAGCACGACTGTTTTTAACATTGATGATAATAAGAAATGTTTCTTGAGCACCCAAATCAGCATAGAATGATTTCTGAAGGATCATGTGACACTGAAGACTGGAGTAATGATGCTGAAAATTCAGCTTTGCCATCACAGGAATAAATTGCATTTTAAAATAATAAAAAAAAAAAAAAAAAAAAAAATCAAATTGTAATAATATATCACAATATTACTGTTTCTGTATGTGTGATCAAATAAATAAAATCTTTACCGACCCCATATTTTTAACATAAAAAAAAAAAAAAAAAAAAAAAAAAAAAAAAAGTGTGGTCATAATGGAGATGTTTCACTTTGTTCATCTGCCCTGGATGGACCTTGTCGCCTCACGTTCATATCTTATTGACCTCCGTTTACCTCCACCTCTCTCCTAGCCCGAGGATGTGAGTTTCTTCCTTTGCAAAGAAGTGGATCCCTCTGTGTCAGAATCCTTTTCTGCTGTGGCCATTCCGCCCCCTGCTGGTGAGGAGGACTCTGAGACACCCCGGGAGTTTCCAGACGGCTTTGAGCCTCTGCGCTCAGAGCAATTAGCAGAAATGAACGTACAGAGCTCTCCCATCGTCAGAAACCCTTACATGTCCCCCCTTCTGGCTCCAGACAGCATGCTAAAGGGACTACCTCCCATACACATAGTGGTAAGAGTGACCAAAGACTTTTTACAATTGATGAGTTTAAGAAGATGTGCTTTGTACTTCATTTTACGATGAGAAAATTATTTTAAATGCTTTCATTCCCCTCATAAGCACATTTTTATTCTGTTTGCCTATGTCTGAGACTCTTCTCCATCCCCCATTCCTCAGGCCTGTCATCTGGACCCCATGCTAGACGACTCTGTGATGTTTGCCAAAAGGCTGCGAGATGTCGGTCAGCCAGTGACCCTATGTGTCGTGGATGACCTTCCTCATGGCTTCCTCAGCCTATCACAGCTCTCGAGGGAGACTCGAGAAGCTGCTAACGTATGCATGGAGCGAATCAAGGATGTCTTCACCATGAAAGACCCTCCGCCAGAGATGCGCAAACACCGCAAATTGGAACGGACCATTCAGAAACCTTCTGCTACCAAAAGAGACCACATTCAACTTTCGCAAGTGACCGTGCTGGAGGAGGAGGGGGTATCTGTTGGGGGAGAAGCTTCTGTTGTGGATGAGGAGGGACTTGCTGGCTTTTACCCTCCCTCTGAATCTGAAAAGATTCCAGCTTAGAATTTTGGACTGGTTTCGTTCTGAATGATACCAAAAGAGAGATACGTAGGCCAGAGTAAGGTCATATTATGTGAATAACACATTATGTGAATGATTATAGTAGATATGAGTATATAGAGAAAAACAAAGTAATTAAGCAATTATTAAATTATAACTTAAATTAGAGACCATTAAGTATTTAGTTATAGAGAGGAAAAATGAATACACCTCTAGCTTTATTATTCAAATCTGATGGCGTACACATGCACTCCCTTTACATCTATATTACCACTTTGCCTTTTGGTGCGTTATACCAGCACAAAAACGAATATCCTGCCTTGTTCTAAAAAAAACATCCCAGCACATAACGTCATTATTACAAATGGATGTACCTCACTCCTTATAGCACTAAATGTTCTTATACAATAATGAAATCTGTCTACAAACTGTGATTCAATATTATACCTGTGTGTTACACTTTATACTCCGTAGAATGTGTTGCTGCTAGGCATCCTGGGGCTAACTGATGAAAGCATTTATTAATGGTTGAATTTTTTTCTTTATAGTAGCTTTTGAAATATTTATGACACCGAATTATAATATGGTGTCACTGTGTATGTTAATCACCCTTTATTAATCTACCTGCCTCTTGGCACCTAGAGGACGTCCTGTGTGACTAGTGCTTGAATGGGATTTCTGATGCTGCTTTGTCCTCATAGAGTTCAAAGATTATTCAATTCAATTAATCGTTATCGAATTTCCACAAGCGTTCTGTGGAAGGAAAGCTCAAGTTTCACCCAATTTGTGATCGTGTTACTTGTGTTCTGTAGTCTCCAGTCTTGTTATAGTCAAGATAATAGTTTATTTTGCTACTGTCATGTATTATCTTTGTAATGGCATGGAGAATTGTTTATTGTATGTAAATGTTTACTTAAAATTGCTAGTTCACCCAAAAATAAAAATTCTGTCATCATTTTCTCACACCCTTATGTTGTTTCAAACCTGTATGACTGTTTCTTGAAGACCGTTTCAGCTATGTTTGCTCAAACAATTAAAGCCACTGGTGTCCAAAACAAACCAACATGGGACCCAATTGACTTTCATTGTATGAGCGAGAGAAAAAAAAACATTTTTCAAAATATCTTTTTTTTTTCTTCACAAAACAATATAAGTCATACCGGTTTGGAACAACACAAGGGTGAGTAAATGATGCCAAAATGTTCTTCTTTTTTTGGGGATGAATTACATCTTTAAGTCACAAGTGGCTTCGAAATGGCTGAGTTTTTTATAATCATATACTAATCACATTATTTATCTGTTAGATTAGATTACTTGTCAAAAAGACAAGATTATATATACTGGTTTGAAAACTGGACAAGAGCTTCGAGAGAAAAAAACATGGGCTGTACCTCTCCATCACTGCCTTTCCCTCTTAGTCGGCACGTCAGTGCAAGCTTCCATTATTTTTCCATCTCCCTCGTTCGTTCAGTCAGTTTGTTTCCCTCTTGTTCACAGTCGTGTCGTCTGTCCCCGTGCATGCTGACCCATTTTGAGCACTCTTTTCAATTCTCACCCAGCCCGTCCTAGAGGTATTTTAAGCAGACTCCCTTTACACCCAGCAACCTTGAGCCAATGAAATCTTTCAGCCTGCACATGTGTGATATATACCCCTGTGATGGCGTGTCTCTATTTGAATAGGGTCTCCTCTCTCTCTGGCACTAATTGACTCTATTGACTCTCCGAAACAAACTCGCCAACATTTTGGCACTCCATAAAATGTATTAGTGCTGTATGGGAGGTTTGGACCTTTGTGTGCACAGCTCTGCTATGTGACAGTGGCCTGACCTCCCACAGTGTGTTTATATAGCGCACGTTTAAAGTATTGTCAACATTATTATTGAAACAACGGTGGTTGTTGCTGTTATTTTAAGATTCGCTCTGCTTAAGCGGCACAGCATGAAATGTCTTTTGGGACTGTATATATCCTCTGCAAAGGCCTGGTCTTTATCGGTGTGTCTATGAATGGATTAAGCCAGAGCTGAAGTCAGGCTTTATCTGCTGAGAGAAAACAATGCTCCATCTACTGCTGATTGCAGCATTTGAGAGTCAGTTTCTAAGAGTGTCACGATATAAAAAGATTTGCTTGCTTGCTCTTTTCACCGTGTCAAAGCTGCTCCTTTCTGGTGACGGATTTGAAATACTAAGTCTTGGTTACTCTGCAGTTTTTTGTTATGGTTCGTATGTAAAACTTGTCACGTCAATTGTTCTTCAAGGTATTTTTGTCAGATGGTGCCTGTTTTGGTCAGCTTGGTTGTGTATGTGCATGAAAGTTGTGTTTGTTTGTCGCACTTTGTGTTATAGTTGTGTCCGCTCTGCATGGAAAAGCTTCTCAATGGATTGTGCTTTTAGATTCTACATTGTCTGTAGTCCCTTCATGGAACCATGACTAACCAGAACTGGGAGAGGAATGATAGAGCCCTCTGGTTATCCGTTCCAGTTGAGTTGTCTCTGTAAGCTTTTTTTTTTTTTGTAGGACGATGTAACCTTGAATGCACTTGAGCATTTCCACCTTGTGTGTGTGACTCTCAAACTGCCTCCCTCAGAGAGAGATTACTCATTCATCTCAAGGGTGTTATATAAAACACCATGTTAATGTACTCCTCTGTTTAAATGACCATACCTGTACTTATCACTGAGGTGTAAGCAGCCAAAACCCTGCTGCATCATCTCCCCTGAGAGGCATGAGTCGTGTCATTACATTTTACATCTGTTCTCATGACTTATCTGTCACTGACTTGGAGTTGTAATCCATAGGTTGTTTCGTTGTGTTTTGAGCTCCTGTGCTCTTGAAGTCCACCAACGATGATGTTGCTCACTTTAAGTGCAGGCTCTAATGACCACTGCAGTATCGTTTGCGAGGGTGCTGATGTCTATTCTCTCCTCGTTTTCACTGGGATGTAAAATCCAATGAGTGATGCAAACTGCACTGTATGTCCCAGGCAAACTTTCTCGCATTCAGTCAGACCTGTTGTTTTCAGGACAATCTCAGCAAATAAGCACTTTATAGTTCAGTGTATAGCAGCATCTGAGTTTGAGAGAGCTTTCAGGTGCCCTCACAGCCATTAACTGAGAGCTAGCTTCTTTGATTATATGATTTGTTATATGTTCTTAATAATTATAACTATTTATTATAATAATAATATTTGTTATTATTTCCTCATGTAAAGACACCATAAGTGCAAACCTGTGTATTTGGAATGTACTGTATATGCATAGATGACATTTATTGTATAGAGAGACCATAATTATAATTATACTCTTTAGTTGTTTTTTTTCGTCGACAGAGTATTTTGAGACTTGTGCGGACTGTAATGTTACGATGATAAATGAGAGTAGCTATTTTTCTGCAGTAGCCTATATGTATTTTCCCTCTGTCGATTTATATTTGAATAAATGATTGTCTCTGCATCTCTGTGTTTATCTTGTGACGGGATAGAGAACGCAAAATATTTCTAATAATTATGTAAGAAAATGAGTTAAAACGATTAAAAAAAATAGCCATAAAGAATAGCTATTTGTGTATGCTATGTCGCAATAAAATATCGGCAGCGCGCGTTTCACGCTTTCCCGGCAAAGCGCGTGCGATACTAGGCGCGCTCCCGGCGAAAATTCTGGGGGATACATGCATTCGAGGCGAAGAACGTGGACGCGCGTCTGGCAGCCTCACTAGGCAGATCTCCTGCTCACACAATATAGGAAGGAGAGCGTAGAAACGCTACGGTGGACAGGTGAAGATGGAGAAAGTATTAGGACTCGCCGTGGTATCCAGTATGTTATGTGTCGGCTCGGTTTTTGGGAAATATGTCAGAGGTATCGTCAACACAAAAGAGGTGAGTATAGTGTTTACATTTTATTACTATTGTGCTGGTAATGGTTCTGAGTTTTCCTGCGTTCTTCAGCTGCGCATCTCCTGACTGCTGTTAGTAATGGGCTGTTATAGCAAGTGTGTGTTGACGCCTCTGTATTTGCGCGCATCTGGAAGCTTGATGCTTTAATAGCCTGTGCGTTGCCAAGATCATTACACCCGCCGCTATTGAGCCGATGAAAGCTTAATTCCTCCTTAAGACACGAAAAACACATTTTAAACGGCGTATTGCCGACAACCAATTTACACCCTCCCACCCGCTTTTACAGGTGTGTGTCTGTCGTTACAGCACTGTTATTGTATTTATCGCATGCTGATGTTTGTGTCCAAACTGATTTTAGGTTGCTTAGCTGTGCTTATAAAGGTGTGTGATATGCATTGTGAGACATAATTCAAACAACAACTCCGCAAACGTGGAAATAAGGCACAGACGATTTGAGTCATATTGCTGTTGAAGTGTGTCCATATTTGCCGTACGTCATTTTCTTAATGTTTAATAGCTGTTAGGTTAATTATTTGATTGCAGTGTGCCTTGTGGGAAACACTGGCTATATTATCCGATAGACATATGGTGCAAAATGTAAATGTTGGCCTGGAGCAATCAGTGAGACTGAAAGTGCTTCAAAAAAGTAATTGCCGCACTTATTTCATCACATTGATTTAATTAACAAAAATGAAGAAAATACGGAGAAATTAGGGAGCAATTACATTTATTTCCTTTCAAAATCCATAGTAGGCCTACAGCCTATAGCATAGAAAAAACACTACTTAAACTTACTTTTTATTACTTAAAAGCTCATACACGATTTTTACACCGTGTAAATAATACGGACAAGTTAAATCATGATTAAGTAGGTTTTGCTGCTGGTAATTTAACAACAACCTGTTCCTGCCTGTATCCAGTGCTGATCCTGTTCTTTTTTTAGTCTCTGTATGAGATGGTTGTACAGTCCATTAATCTCACTTCTGTTTATTTCCTTACAAGGTCGTTCATTTACACTGCCATGCACACACTCACACATAAATTAGGCTACCGGAAAGTTTTATCACGGTAATGGGATAGTTCACCCCAAAATTTTAACTCTTTCATTAATTACTCACTCCCATGTCATTCGAAACCCGTAAGAAGTTCGTTCATCTCCGGAACACAAATGAAGATATTTTAATGAAATCTGAGAGATTTACATTGACAGTCAGTGCAACTACCACTTTGATGCTTCAAAAAGTTCATAAAAAGATCGTAAAACTAATCCATACGAATTGAGCGGTTTTGTCCAAAATTTTCTGAAGAGACACAATCGCTTTTTATGATGAACAGATAGGCTTTTATTCACACAGCCTACATTCATCACCTCGCACATCAGTTGTAAGCTCAGGCATGTTCGCTTGACGTGCAAGAACCAAAGAGGTCCATTCTCGTGTTACACAGCACATTTAAGCTTGTTCTTGCCCATCAAGCAAGTATAGGCCTACAGTTGAACTTCTGTTTTATGTTCGCTGATCAATGTCGTGTTTGGGTGAACTATCCCTTTAAAGTTGTTTGGTTGTGTAAGGCATTTGCCCCTTTAAATTAAAACATAATTTGAGACAGAGAAAAAACAGCATGGTCCTTTCTTTGTTTTTTGTTTTTGTTTTATATGTGTGCTACTAACAGATTCCAGCAAAGCTCCTTCCTCTGAATTGAGTGTGGCCAGAGAGTTGTGCAGGTAACGTTACCTGCCTATGGGTAACTACCACTGCCACAGGCATATAAGACTCAGGGGCACTCAGGTCGACGTCTTGTGTGTGGTATATGTGTGTAGCACATGTGAGTGTATTTATGTGTTGCTCCGTTGTGTAACTAAAGTAATGAATCATTTAAAAGCCCAGTGGACCCGGGGTGACATGACTAGTTGATTGGTAATTAATTGTTAATGAGGCTTAGCGGTCGGACAGAGATCCGGAAAGACAGTGAGAGGTGAGGCCACCACTGATTCGGTGAAGTGACCGGATACTGCATCTGCGTATAGTGCTTGATTAATGTAGGGTCTGTGTGCCGTGTCTCTC